CGATGCATTTGATTTTGATGCATTCATCAGCTACAGTTCACTTGATAAAACATGGGGCCAGGAAACATTGTATGCAACTCTAGTAGGCAATCATCACTACAAAATATGTATTGATGATCGAAACTTCCGACCAGGGGCTTTTATCTCCAGCATCATAGTTGATGCTATCAACAGAAGCAACAAAGTCATTCTCATCATATCACAGAACTTTCTCCGTAGCAAGTGGTACACTTATGAACTAAACATCGCAAGAGGAGAACTGGCAAATAGGGGGCGTGATTGCATAATCCTCATTCAAGGAGCCAATTAATGTCCTTCCAAAAGAATTAATCACCCCTACATTGCAATCACTTCTAGACACACGGGTGTACCTGGAGTGGAGTGATAATGCAGACAGACAAGCTTTGTTTTGGAGGAAGCTATGTGATGCCCTAGGTGATCCTGGACCACAAAATGAGGAGCAGGGAGGCAGTGAATATACAATGCTTCAGAATGAAGAGGATGAACAACTGGTACAAGACTTTTTAAGAGAAAACAGACCACTATTGGAATGACATTTCAAAATGCAAGAAATGGTATAAATACATGAAAGTGATGAAACATGTATATTTTCGAACTACTGTACATGAAAATCAAAAACATGTACAGGTAATTGTGTTATGGAATACTCAGACTGCTAAATATTTATCAACTTATTCAAGAACATGTATTAGTAATTGTTATCGGAACAGAGAGACTGCTTCACATTAATTAACTTATTCAAGAACATGTATTGGTAATTGTTTATAAGGGCCATGCCATTCGACCGAAATTGGTCTGAACCGCGAACCTTTGCTTGAATACTGGTATTCGGAACTTTCATATCATGTTCCGAAGGGATTCGGAACAAACATCTGAACCTTACCTACTATTGGCTTTGAATTGTTAATATCTCAGTCCAGTGTTTACCTGGTAATGTTTCCTTCATTTATCAACTTATTCAAGAACATGTATTGGTAATTGTTTATGGAATACCCAGACTGCTAAATATTTATCAACTTTTTCAAGAACATGATTTGGTAATTGTATGAAATACAATGACTGCTACATAGTTATTACCTTATTCAGGAACATGTATTGGTAATTGTTTATGGAATTAAGAGACTGCTTTACATATATCAACTTATTCAAGAAAATGTCTTGGTAACTGTTTATATATTTATTTATTTTTATTTATTTATTTGGAAAACGCTTTTTTGAGCAGCGGCACTCAATCGGTGCATCCAATACATCATATATAAAATATAAATGGGATAAAACATATCATGCAAAAGGCCACTAAAAACATGCATGTGACTATTGTGTGCACTGTACATGTATTTTCTTTAAAAACAATTTGACATATTTGTCAAACTTCACGTAATTATCATGTCCCCACAAGATTAAAGTTTCATCTCCCAGAGCCCAACATGTTTTTAGTTGTACACTTCCTGCTAGAAAGTCAGAGGAGAGTTGGTGGTTGCAATTTGACACAACATTATTGAAAAATACATTCCTATCACTACCAAAGTAGGGACAGACAAAAAGTCTATGCTGTATAGTATCTTTAACATTGAGGTTACAAAAGAGACATATACCATTGCCTTGACCCCATCTTTGAAGGTCGGAGCGAAGGCCAAAACATCCCGTTCTGGCCATGAATTTAAGTTTATGACCATAGAAATCAAAGTCTGAGTTCATATAATTTTCCTTAGAGAGATTACTTTTCAAACATTTGTAAAGATTTAGGGATGACTTCTCCCCTATTGAAGAGAAGAAGGCTACATGGCTTAAATCATTTGAGATCTGGATGTATGTTTTATACCAGTTATCATCCTGCCTTTGAAGGATGCCATCCAGACCATGTTTTATCAGGATCTCCTGAATATTGGCAAAATAGGGGAAAGCTTTGCCTTCCTGACCATTTATGTATTTGTTGTACAATGTGTTGAAGATAGCTTTGTGAACTGACCCTTCTTTAATAGAGTGCTTTAAATATAAAAAATAATCGATTTGACGTTTTTCAATGACATCTAGAATAGGTCTTAATCCTAAATCTCCTAACAATGCCTCTCTTGCAGGGCGGCATCTAAGCTGGAGAATGGCTCTTGCTACATTGTACTGCATTGATTTGAATTTTTTGCAAGTTGTCTTATTCAGAATCAAGGTGGAACATCCATGTAATAAGGCTGGCAAAAACATTGTATCATGCATTTTAATTCCGAATTTGACTCGCATAACATTGCAATGCTTGGTTAAGGTTGAACTTATCATTCCTTGTACTCTTTTTGATTTAGAGCTTAACATATTATTTATGTGGAAAGAATCCTTCATGGACCTGTCAATATGTATACCCAAATATTTATAGTTCTGAACTTCGGAAATATGAGTCCCCCAAAATCCAAGTTTTTTGCTTATCTAGACGTTTTCCTACTATCATAACTTTTGATTTTTTTAAGCTAAATTTAAATCCCCATTTGATTGAGAAATTATCTGCAATTTTTAACATTTTGTTTAAACCCTCTTCATTGTCAGCAAGTAGTACAATGTCATCAGCAAACATTAGAGCTGGGATTTTTTGCCCCTCGAAAGGAATGCCTGTTGATTCTTCTTGGAGCATTTCAACTAGTTCTGACATTACAAGGGAGAATAGGGTCGGGGAAAGACAGCAGCCTTGCTTTAGGCTATTAATGGAACTACTTTCTTCCCAATTAGTTGAAATTGATCCAAATATAACTTTATTTTGAACACCATTGTATAGTTGCCGTAGGAGTCTCCACACTTTACCCTGAATCCCTTTCTCCCATAATCGAATGAATAATAAGTCCCTATTTACAACATCGAATGCCTTGGATATGTCCAAAAATGCTAGAAATGTCTTCCCATTGTTACTTTTACGCATACTGCAGAGGCCCTTTAAAGCAAACAAATGGTTTTCCAATCTTAGCCCTGACCGAAATGCACCTTGCAGATCCCCAAGTAGATTGTTATCTTCACAGAACTTAATGATTCTTGTTTCAATTACAGAGGTAAACAGTTTATATACATTTGAATTGATAGTTATTCCTCTATAATTGTCCAAAACTTCCTTATCTCCATTTTTATGAATTGGGAACAGGAGACCCTCTTTCCATTCTGAGGGCATTTCCTCTCGTAATTTGACAAGATGAAAAAGATCATGGAGTGAATTTACTAATAAAGGCCCCCCCTGTTTGAGAAATTCATTAGGACTTTGGTCAGTTCCGCAAGCTTTGCCATTGCTCAAGCCTTGAATAAGTACCTGTATGTCACTAGGATTGAAACATACTTCGAACAGGGCATTATCGGAGAATTGTGATGATGAAGCTAGATCGTTAAGTTTTATAGAATAGTCGATTTTGGCAGAATTCATGTTAACATTGTTGACCCCTACATTTCTCCAGTATCCGGCAATTATATCAGAGACTTGTTTAGGATCAGTAATGATATTATTTGGGTCATTGGGATCTTTTATTTGTATTGGGTGGTCTGCTTTGGTGTTGAACATTTTTAAGGTCTTCCAAAATGACTTAGAATTAGATTTCTTATATTTCTTATTATAAAACAGAGACTGCAACACATTTATCAACTTATTCAAGAATATGATTTGGTAATTGTATAGCATACAAAGATTGCTACATTTTATCAACTTACCCAAGAACATGTATTGGTAATTGTTCATGTAATACAGAGACTGCTACACATTTATCAACTTATTTACTTATATTCAGGAACATGTATTAGTAATTGTTTATGTAATACAGAGACTGCTACACATTTATCGACTTATTCAAGAATATGATTTGGTAATTGTATAGCATACAAAGACTGCTACATTTTATCAACTTACCCAAGAACATGTATTGGTAATTGTTTATGGAATACAGAGACTGCTACATATTTATCAACTTATTTACTTATTCAAGAACATGTATTAGTAATTGTTTATGTAATACAGAGACTGCTACACATTTATCGACTTATTCAAGAATATGATTTGGTAATTGTATAGCATACAAAGACTGCTACATTTTATCAACTTACCCAAGAACATGTATTGGTAATTGTTTATGTAATACAGAGACTGCAACATATTTATTTACTTATTCAAGAACATGTATTGGTAATTGTTCATGGAATACAAAGACTGTTACATATTCATCAACTTATTCAAGAACATGTAATGTTTTTAAAATTTGTATTATGGGATACCCATAAGACCAATTGAAAATACCTGAAAACACAAAATTTGCAGATCATTGATGCAGAAAATTTGAATCTCAAGCAAGATTTGAACACCTGACACTTATAGTTCCCATCAGTAATATATAAGTAATAATTTAAACAAGGAATTCAAAAACATGTGAACATTCCTGATTGCATCACTTGATGTATGGAGCTGAAGCAAATGTATAAAATCATACAAATGTATTTTTTTCTGACTGACTCAACACCTTTCCATTTCCTTATGGGTAGTACCATGATATACCAGTATGAGGTCATAATGACCTATATCAGTGGCGTAGCGTAGGTATTTTGTGAGTGTACGCCGCGAGTAAGTGAAATATACATGCTTTGAGGGAGGTTCGGGGGAGGTCCCCCCAAGAACAAAAAGAAAGTGAAAAATAAAATAAGATAGCATTTGAAGCGTTCTGGGGCGTTTGAAATACGAAATTCCGACTATTATGGACGAATAGAATGTAAATTATTAGCCATTTTTGAAGTGTGGGGCAAATCAATATAAAAAATTAACTGTTTTCTAAATTTTGAGAGTACGCCATGGCGTTTTATGCGTATATGACGCTACGCCATTGTATATACTATGACAATATGCATACAGCAATAAATAAGTGATGAAGTATTCCTTAATCATGGTCATTTATTGGCTAAAATTCTGAGTCAATTGGGATTATGACAAAAATCGTAAAATAACACACATAAAAATGGCCACTATTTTCAAAATGGTCGCTCATTGGCCATATTGTCATAAGAAAATGGTTGCCAACTAAACAAAGTGTCATAAGACAGTGTGCCTTGCTCATGAGTATTCACATAACATACAGGTTTCATATCCCATACACTCCTGGAAACAATGAAACAATTAGCCAGGCTTGTGAGTGGTAAGTTGTGTAATATCCCCCAATCAATAGAAACATTCATATCTACTGAAATTTTATGACTGACAGTACAAAGTTACAATTAGATTAATTTTATCTCCATTTCAATTGCCCTTCCTTCACATGACATGTGTTGGTTGGGGCTTGCATGTTTTCCTCCAGAGATATCCTCGTGGTTTTCCTGAAGGAAGTATTCAGAGAATGTTCATACAATGAAATAGAAAATAGCAACTCCACAGATTAGCAAATCCAACCAAACAAAACATGTTTTGATAAATAGTGGCTTTCTTGAAAATTGCTTCTTCAACAGAGTTCCTTTGTCTCTACGTAACAGCACATAAAATTTGAACCAAAGCCTTTCACTGGTATTTTCATAAGATATGAACCAAATCTGCGACTGGTATTTGGGTTATCAAAGATTACATTTCTAATGACAAATAGTGGCCATTTCGATAAATATGTTAGTAGCCATCTGGAAAATTTCTTCTGGAGCAAAGCTCCTCCTTTATATCTAGGCATCAGCGTATAGAACTTGAAACAAATCCATTCACTGATATTTGAGTATCAAGATTACGTTCTTTTACAAAAAAATAGTGTCCATTTTGAAATTCAGCTGCCATATTAAAAGTTCCTTCTCATACAGAACTCCTGTGTACCTAGACATTGCATGTAAAATTTGAACCAAATCTGTCTACTGGTTATCAAAAATTACGTTTTTAATTAAAAATGGTGGCCATTTTGAAATTCAGTGGCCATCTTTAAAATCTCTTCTTAAGCAAATCTCCTTTGTCCCTTGACATCAGCATATAAAATGTAAACCATATCCATCAACCAGTATTTGAGTTCTCAGAGGTTAAATTTTTAACTTATAATGGTAGCCATTTTAAATTGAGTCAAGCCATGTTTAAAGTTCCTTCACAAGCAGAGGTCCTACATCCAAAAGGCATAAACATATACAATTTGAATCAAATCTGTTGACCAGTATTTGAGTTATCGCCCGGACACATGAATAAATGGAAGAACAGAAAAACAAATGGATGGACGAACAAATTGATGGTTGGCTTCTCTGTATCCCTACGAACTTTGTTCGGTGGGATAATTATAACCAAATGTCAAAGATTGTAATGAGGAAAAATTGAATGCAATAAGGTTCCTTACATGCATTCAAACAGCCAAATAATTAGGAAACAATATTAACCAGATCCTTCCAAAAGTCATCATGTTATATTTGTATTAAGGAAACTGTCATTATTGAATAAAACTTGTCACTTATTCTTCATATAATAAGATTAAAATTTGATTAATATCAACATTACATTTGGTGGACTGATGCGTTGCAACTATTACAGTCGGGAAATCACAATGTTATTTGAACTATTTCTCATATGCTTTATTTCCACCCTACAATATGACGATGTTGCAGGGGTGCAGAAATATGAAAACTCAACTAGTCTTGGGTGTAACAAGTGCAAATGTAATGGAACATTTGTGGATTGTGCTAATGTTAAGCTGGACTATCTACCAGGAGACTTCCCATCAAACATAACTGGTCTTAGTCTTGCCAAGTGTGGACTGACAGCATTGAATGATACAGAGCTTGGGACGCTTTACAAACACTTGAGGCACCTGGATATTCGAGACAATAAAATTGCTGAATTAAAGAATGCTACATTTGCTGGACTGAATGAGTTGGAATACCTAGATATGGGAGGAAACAAATACAGAGCTGATAAAATAGATCCATTTGTATTTAGCTCACTGCCTAATATCTTAGAAATCATAGTGAGAGGATATGGAAATTATGACCAAAACAAGGATCTAGAGCGGAACGTTTCGAAAGCTTGGTTCGACACGTTTAAAGGACTGGAAAATTCAACAATAGAAAGAATCACTTTTGACGCTATTACAGTGAATCCCATTATCCTTGAGAAAGACATCTTCATTCCATTAAGTAATACAAAACTTAAGTATCTTAGACTTTATAATATAAGATTAGTGGAAATTGATATGAATAGTCTCTTGTATCTTCCATTTCTTGAGGAAATAGACATATCAATGAATAGTCTACAAATGGATCTTAGATATCTAGATACTTATAGAAATTTGTATAATTCTAAACTCAGGCATGTCATTTTCCATGATAATGTCCAAAATTATAAACCACAGAAGCACTACGAACTTTTACCAGAATTTATTGCAAAATTCTTTACAATAAATTTCCCTAAAACTATAGAGGAGATCAACTTTTCCAAATCGACTATGACCCGTGGTGTCGGATGTTATATGTCATATGGATTCAAACTTGAAAGAGATAATGCAATAAAAAAATTTGATATATCCAATTTTAAATTAATGCAGAGACTCGGTCCTATGCTGGGACTAGTTCATTTAAAAGAATTTTATCTACAAGGTATAGGTTCTGAATTGTTTCCATCTACCGTCACCTGTGATAATGGAGCATTTGAATCTATTGAAATGCTGAACATGTCACACAACTTTATGAATTTGAGTGATAAAACCATAAACGATTCATTCAAGATGTTCACAAACTGCACAAAGCTTCGACACATTGATTTGTCTTACAATAAAATGAACAAAATGCCCTTTACTATGTTCAGCAAGTCGAATGCACTAATAACCATTAACCTTGGTGGCAATGATCTTAAACAGTTGAACATTGACATTGAAGAAGCAATAAACTTGGAGAAATTGGACATATCTAATAATCAATTCCAAACTTTGCCAACAAATGTTCAAAATATTATTGACCATTCAAATAAAGTCTCAAATGTAACATTGCAAGTTGGCTTAAAAGGAAACCCACTTGTATGTGGGTGTCATTCATTCGACATCATAGCCTGGATGAAAGACCACAGCAAGAACATAATGCAATGGGACACATTAGAATGCACATATTTTAATGATACCAAAGTTAAAATGCATGCCATCCATTTGCCTGGATTGAAATTTTCATGCTGGAAATCTGTCATATTGGCAGGGGTGATACCCTCTGGAATCATGCTGTTGTTTGTATGTGTAGTGATTCTTACATACAGGAAGAGATATAAACTGCACTATTTGTACCTACAGCTACGAGCTGCATTGAGGCGACATGGCAAAGAAAACGATGCCTTTGATTTTGATGCATTCATCAGCTACAGTTCACTTGATAGAACATGGGGCCAGGGAACATTGTATGCAACTCTAGTAGGCAATCATCACTACAGAATATGTATTGATGATCGAAACTTCCGACCAGGGGCTTTTATCTCCGACATCATAGTTGATGCTATCAACAGAAGCAACAAAGTCATTCTCCTCATATCACAGAACTTTCTCCGAAGCAAGTGGTGCACTTATGAACTAAACATTGCAAGAGGAGAACTGGCCAATAGGGGGCGTGATTGCATAATCCTTATTCTGAAGGAGCCAATTAATGTCCTTCCAAAAGAATTAATCACCCCTACATTGCAATCCCTGCTAGACACACGGGTGTACCTGGAGTGGAGTGATAATGCAGACAGACAAGCTTTGTTTTGGAGGAAGCTATGTGATGCCCTAGGTGATCCTGGACCACAAAATGAGGAGCAGGGAGGCAGTGAATATACAATGCTTCAGAATGAAGAGGATGAACAACTGGTACAAGACTTTTTAAGAGAAAACAGACCACTATTGGAATGATATTTCAAAACACAGGAAATGGTTTAAATAAATATATGTAAGTGATGAAACATGTATATTTTTGAACTCCATGAAATTCAAAATCATGTACAGGTAATTGTGTTATGGAATACCTAGACTGCTTTATACTTATCAACTTATTCAAGAATATGTAATCGTAACAGTAAATGGAATACCAAGACTATATATACATCAACTTATTCCAGAATATGTAATTGTTATTGTAAATTGAATACCCAAGAACATGTTTTGGTATTTGTTTATGGAATATAGGGACTGCTACACATTTATCAACTTATTCAAGAAAATGTATTACTAATTGTTAATGGAATACAGAGACTGCTAAACATTTATCAACTTATTCAAGAACATGTATTGCTAATTGTTTATGGAATATAGAGACTGCTCTGATTTATCAACTTATTCAAGAACATGTATTGCTAATTGTTTATGGAATATAGAGACTGCTCTGATTTATCAACTTATTCAAGAACATGTATTTGCAATTGTTAAATGAAATACATACTGCTACACTATTTATCAACTTATCCAAAAACATGCTTGCCTGGTAGCCAGTTTTTACCAAGGGAGAGTTTTTTGAAGAATGTTTTGGCTAAAAAATCATGCAAAAGTGCTCAGAATGGTGAAAAAATATCTAGCCAGGAGTACCCTAACCTTGCTCAAGTCTCTTTTACTCATCTTGATTTCTACTAAGATTGATTGATTTCTCAATCGGACACCCGGAGGTGAGATGATTTCAACAAGAAATGTTGAAAAGATCACTGAAATGATCAAACATGATAGCTATACGATCTAGGCTGAGAGATTCCGATCAATCACTGAATCATATCGAGGACTATATGGACTAGGTCTTCATGAATTTTCATCGCAAATTTAAGGAATAAATAATGATAGGCCATTCAATATGGTGAAATTCAGCACGAGTTGGACAGAATGTTGTACAAAGCACGAACCGAAGGTGAGTGCATTTGTACTAACATTCTGTCCAACGAGTGCTGAATTTCACCATATTGAATGGCCTATCATTATTTATTCCGATTCAAACATAAAAATTAGTAAAAGCCGTGTCTGTGGAACGGGCATGAAGGAAGAATACGCATATGCTGTCAAGATTCTGAAGTCGGCCGGAAAAAATTTAGAATTTGTTTGGGCTGTTCTATTTTACTCCCCGTTAAATAAGACTAGTTCACCGGCTGCAAACTTGAAGTCAGCCATAGTTAAATAGTTACAGTAGTTACGGAGGGAGTAAAAAAGAACAGCTATCCCCGGACAGAGCCCCAGATGTGCAGCTGAGATGTGACGTCACTCAAAACAATGCAAATTGCAGATTGAATAGAGCATGGTCGTGCATCTATGGAGAATTAGAGAACATTCTATATTGGCTATGCTGCATTCTGATTGGTTCGAGAATTTCGAATAGAGCACGGTCATGTTTGAATCAGTTTTAAATCAACATAAAATCGCATGATTTAATTTATATTAATGCCTGCTTACATTCCACTGTACATTTAATGACAGAATATATTGTAACTGAAGAATTGCTCTATCAGATCATTGAAAATTTCAAGTCATAGACAAGTAGTTTGCTTTGTTCATGCAGGTAAACCTGATAACGTTTTAATTGGTCAATCAGCCTGAAGTCAGACGTCGTGTCCACATGATCTTGCCTATCAATACGGTTTCGCAATACCCCTGACAGCACAGGAATTATGGAAATCTCGAAACTGCTGAATAACTTATCATAGTATCAGCGATGATGCATTGGATAGTACAAGGCGGTAATATATCAAGATCAGATAAGTAAAAAAAAAATACTGACTTGGGCAAGGCTAGGACGACCCAGACTGCTACATATTTTTATCTACTTATATTCAATTTCATATAATGTTTATAGAATTTGTTTCATGGGATACCCATTAGACCAATTGAAAATATCTGAAAACACAAAATTTCTCAAGCAAGATTTGAACACCTGACACTTGTAGTTCCCATCAGTAATATATATAGGTAATAATTTAAACAAGGAATGGTTAACATGACTCAAAAAATGTGAACATTCCTGATTGTATGCATCTATAGCAAAGTTTACACCAAATTTAAGTGTTTCCGAGTGAGTGATTTGAGCTATCACTTTTTTCTAGCTCAACAACTTTGAATTCCTTGTGGGTACTAACATGACGTATGAGGTCATAATCACCTACAAACTATGACAATATGCATACAGCAATAAATAAATGATGCTGTATTCCTTAATCATGGTCATTTATTGGCTAAAATTCTGAGTCAATTTGGATTAGTCAGTACACATGCCAAACTAGACAACATCAATGCCGAAAGCAAATCCTATCAAACAGCCATCGCTGGCACTTTTACAAAATCCTTCTACTACTTTTTCAGTAATAGCAAAAATCGTAAAATAACACATATAAAAATGGCCACCATTTTCAAAATGGTCGCTCATTTATAGCGAAATTGTAATAAGAAAGTGTAGTAATATGCTTCTAAGTTGGTACATATAAAATTTCAACAAAATCACAAACACATACTTATAAATGGCAGCTATTTTTTAAATATGCCATCATTAAGAGTGTTCACATATCAAATATGAAAAATATAAACAAAATCACTCTTTTACTTTTTGAGTTAAAGTAAAAAACAAAAATTAATGCTGGACTAGGGATGGGATGGGAATGGCATGCCAAAGGGGAAACTAGAACATGCTTGAATATCAGTGTGAGGTCGGGTATGGCCATGTAAGCACCTCCTGCTGTATACTCCCTGCCCATATGCAAGCATAAGTGCCATTTAGATACTATAAAGAAGGCATAACTCACCACATAGAAAAGCACTTGTGTACTCCAAACTGTTCTCCTCGCCCCATTTCCACTGGCTCTCACTGACTTGACTGATGATGAAGAATATAACAGTCATGGCAGCACAGATCAGTGTGGACAACATCAGGAACTTGAATCTGTAGATCAGGCCCTAAGAACCACAACCAGATTTACAGATAGCAATTGCATTTAGTTTAATTCAATAGTACATTGTAAATAGGAAATTACTATCTTTAAGTGCACTCACATAGATATATTTCACCTCACTATCTTACATGTCAACTCACCATGTTATACTTCAACTCACCATATAACACTTCAATTAACCATGTGATATCTAACTCAACATATAATACTTCAATTCACCATTTAAAATTTCAACTCATCATATAATACTTCAACTCACCATGTAATACTTCCTCCTGATCGCACTCATCTGTGGCAAAGAATTTTTCTTGGCACCAATGTTTCTGAAGACCTTGAAGATCATATAGCAGAGGAAGATGAAGTACGTACAGGCGGCAATACCAGCCAGAACCACAAAACCAAGCTAGCGAAATGTTAAGGCTATTTACATCTTCAACAAATATATTGGACTGTACATAATTACCCTTTACATTCGTTTGACTTCACTTCTTAAAAGAGAGCTTCGTCTTCACTCTTTCAAACTAAAATAAACGTATGAACTCACCGCGCCAATCAGTGTTTGTCGGCCAAATTTGACCGATGTTCTATATATGGGCATTCCTTCTGACGTCATCGTTGAGCCCGGAACTGACCAATGACATGCACATATTTAATTAGAATGCATTTGGCGTATGTTTCTTCAAGCTCGCTGGTTGGTGGATGAAAGGTCAGCACGTAGGTCAGAAGTGATTTCCTACCCAAACTGTCACCGGTACCGGTCCTGGGGGTGGGGCTGCTAAACTATAATATGGTCTCTACTAGGCAGAGTGTAGTTTAACTAGACTCTGCACGCAGGGTAGTACATAATAGGGCCTATGCAGGTGGTGCAGAACAGAAAACATTTTTGGGTAGTATATACACTATGTACAGCTGTACTCTACAGCAGAAATCAATCTTAATTATTTTTATGTCATATTCTAATTCATGGATTTTTTCAGAGCATCAATCTCAGTATGAAATGTGAAGGCGCATTATTTACCAAGACTCCGCTTAACTCAGTCTCTGTAAGTTAATTGAGCTTCTTTATCAATCAAGTAAAGCTAATGTGATTCTTTGTGGTAATATGTTATGATTAAAGGATACAGCCAGCTTGGATCCCGCGTCAGTGCTCCAGATACTGTAGAATGGATTCGTCAGCTGGACACCCCTATAACATTAGTAAGCCCATTCAATCATGTAAACAAAATGGCCAAAAATTTGATGAAAAAAGAAGGAAAGAGAGCAAACGATCCCCTGTTGTATCAAGACCCTATTTTCATGCAGATATGAGCTTCTATTTGATCAGTGTATGACTATTAACTAATAGTGGACCACTTTTTGAGATACCAAAGGTGTTCCATTTACAGAGATTTTTCCGTATTCATGGTATATTTAGATGATTGAAAACTTTATTGTGAGATTAGCGAGTTGAAGCCCATGATATAAGCGCTGTTAAGCGCATAAGTGTTAATGAAACAAAACCTTTAAATTCAATAATCAAAAATGTCTAAAACATTTTAGTCATGAGAAAATAGTATTGAATGATTAATCATTATTTTCAACTTGCATGTAATATTTTAAGTGGCTTGACACAGTAATACAGCTGAATGGAATCAATACAATATAAGCTTTTTAAGATATCTAGATACCTACCTTTCACACATTTCAAAGACAAACAGGCAAATGCAGCCAAAGAGAACAGCACTAAGATGTTTCCAGTATTGTACAAGTCGACTCCTCTCTACCTGGTCCTGTAAGAAAAACACATATGCAATCGCTTATAATGATTCAATCTCAGGACCTATGGTTTTGGATTGGATTGCTTTATAAGACCCAAGAGCCCAAACATACTTCTGGATTTTGAAATAAAATTGGAGCAACACTATATGTTTTAATCAATGGTCAAAACCGATATCTCATACATATTTAATTTTCCCCTTTTCATGTGATTATGACTCATAGAACAGCATCTTTCATTCCCCTTAGTTTGCTTAAATAAACAGAATCATTAGCTATAGTAAGCAATTGGCTGACTCACCATCATATGTTCGCCACTGAATATAATCCAGAAGCACATGAGGAAGGAGTAGAAGACACCCTGTCTAATGTCACTCAAAAGCAACATGAAGGGGAAGTCAAACCACAGGGTGAACCACTCAATAGGCACTGAAATAAGAGCAAATGAGATTAGTTCTTTCATATAAGCATTGGCAATGCATTGCTACAATTTTACAGCAATATGTTGAAATGAAAGCAAATAAAAGCAAATGAGATTAGTTCTTTCATATAAACTTTAGCAATGCATTGCTACAATTTCACAGCAATATGTTGAAGTGAAAGCAAATAAGAGCAAATGAGATTAGTTCTTTCATATAAACTTTGGCAATGCATTGCTACAATTTCACAGCAATATGTTGAAATGAAAGCAAATAAAAGCAAATGAGATTAGTTCTTTCATATAAACTTTGGCAATGCATTGCTACAATTTTACAGCAATATCTTGAAATGTGGGTAGCATCAAAGGAAATCTAGAGGGAGTCCTTCACTGTATCTTCAGCAAGTGTCACAGTTTTGATAGTATTTTGCCCCTAAACATGTATGCTCCAACTGAGTGGAACAGTTGTTGTATCTTATTGATGAAGGGGACTGCTTTTATGCAAAGCTTTTATGTTAGTTTATTGTTGTATACGTGTAGCATTATACTATACAAGGTAGAGGTGTCAAGTATTAACCGGTTAACCGGTTAACCGCCGATAATGCCTTGACCGGTCTGCGTTTTTATGGGTGGTTAGTTGACCGTGTATAATTCTGTTATTTCCCGCGCTTATATTGCATACTAATCTGTTTGGTTTTAAAGTGTCAGTTTCACGTAAGCTACTCATACATGTCATAAGTCCGGTAACTCCTTAAAAACATCCAATCAGCAACTTTAATCCCTTCCACATTGCTTTCCCGCGCTTACTTTGCATGTTAATCTGTTTGTTTTTCAAGCGTCAGTTTCATGTGAGCTACTCATACATGTGATAGGTCCGATAACTCCTTACAAACATCCAATCAGCAACTTTAACCCCTTACTTTGCATGTTAATCTGTTTGTTTTTCAAGTGTCAGCCATGTACTTGTGTAATCAACTCATAGGCCAGATAATTCCTTTAATTTTACAAATTGCAAAACAATTTCATAAGTAAATTATATGCACTTTTTAATTCGTCAGTTTTGTTATTGTTGTCTATCAACGTCGCCAAAATGTCAAAAGTCAAAGCCTCGCTTTGGTAGTGAGAAAATTAAAATTAAAATAAACACTAATCAGCTGCAATTCTCGTTGTTTCGGTGCGTTCGTGGAGATTCCAAGGGTAAACCAATGTGGTAAGTAATTTAGAGGTACCGGTTGTCAGGTAGTGTATGAATAGAGTAAAGCTTGACGAACGTAAAAAATAAACGCCGATATATCATTTTTCCAATTTTTTTCAACTTTCAAGATCGAAGATGAAGATTTCATTTGGAATTATCAGTTCAAATTTCCCGCCGGTTAACCGACTTTAACCGGTAAAAACACCCGGTTAACCGGTTAATGCTCAAGCAGTTAATTGACACCACTGATACAAGGTGCTTGTCCTTCTGTTTGTACCAGGGCCAATTCAGTATACAAAAACGATCCTTGCTAAATATTAATGTATGCCTGGTCCTAAATTGTAACAGTACAATCAATTTTAAGGCAGCAAGAAATACTGGGATGTGCTGTGATAAAACCAAATATAATGTTCACTGATGTTGGTAAAATACATTTATATTAAAGGGAATTGAAGAATTAAGAAATAGGCACTTACAATTCAACTGAGTGAGAGCAATTCCAAGGCAAAGCAATGCTCTGAAAAAAATCACAAAATCATAAACTACAATAATTTTAATATTTTGAGATGTTTTATTACAAAATATTCTCCATAAAGTGTTCATCTATTATCATTTTGAAAACATAATGTAATATATTGCAATTACACTTTTATTACAAAATTCTACAATGATCTGTTTTTAAGGGCCAGAATGTTTCAAACATCAAGAGGGATTATGAGCTATATTCATAATGATTGGATGTGTTAAATATTCTCACTTTTCAAGGAGATTTGGTTTGCGTTCCAACATCATTATGCGTCTCCAGAACCAACAAAGGACCATTAACACAGTGGGGAACATCAATGTCTTCATGGAGAACCAAACTTTTGTGAAGCCTCCATTCTGGTTGATGAACTAAAAAAGAACCAATACATTAATGTATTTCAAATGTATTTCATATCAACACTATAGGACAAGATTGAATACAAGGCATTAACATGACAAAATGTCACCACCTAAAACAATTTGGTCAATTTAAAGCAAGTTGGAAAATACCTTTTGACCTTAAGAAGAACTTCTGAGAACATGTAGATGATTTTGAAAAAAAAATTAGTCAATTTGAAGCAAGTTGAAAAAAGACCTTTTTGACCTTGAGAAGGTCATTGAAGGTCAAAGGTCAAATCTAGAGTCAGATTTGAACTTCTGAGAACTTGTAAAGTCAAATTTGAACTTCTGAAAAGATGTAGATGATTTTGAAAAAAAAATTTGGTCAATTTGAAGCAAGTTGAAAACAGACCTTTTTTTACCTTGAGAAGGTCATTAAAGGTCAAATGTCAAATCTAAAGTCAGATTTGAATTTCTGAGAACATGTAGATGATTTTGAAAAAAAATTAGTCAATTTGAAGCAAGTTGAAAAAAGACCTTTTTGACCTTTTTTGACCTTGAGAAGGTCATTGAAGGTCAAATGTCAAATCAAATGTCAAATCTAAAGTCATATTTGAATTTCTGAGAACATGTAGATGATTTTGAAAAAAAAATTTAGTCAATTTGAAGCAAGATGAAAAAATACCTTTTTGACCTTTTTTAACATTGAGAAGGTCATTGAAGGTCAAATGTCAAATCTAAAGTCAGATTTGAATTTCTGAGAACATGTAGATGATTTTGAAAAAAAAATTTAGCCAATTTGAAGCAAGTTGAAAAAAGACCTTTTTGACCTTTTTTGACTTTGAGAAGGTCATTGAAGGTCAAATGTCAAATCTTAAGTCAAATCTAAAGTCAGATTTGAATTTCTGAGAACACGTAGATGATTTTGAGATGATTTTTTAGTCAATTTGAAGCAAGTTGAAAACAGACCTTTTTGACCTTTTTTGACCTTAAGAAGGTCATTGAAGGTCAAATGTCAAATCTAAAGTCAGATTTGAAGGTCAAATGTCAAATCTAAAGTCAAATCTAAAGTCAGATTTGAATTTCTGAGAACATGTAGATGATTTTGATAAAAAATTTAGTCAATATGAAGCAAGTTGAAAAAAGAGCTTTTTGATCTTGAGAAGGTCATTGAAGGTCAAATGTCAAATCTTAAGTCAGATTTTAACTTCTGAGAACATGTAGATGATTTAAAAAAAATTGAAGTCAGTCTAAACAGTATTTGTTAAGTTATAGGAAGTTGTAAGAAATTGTTACAGACGCCGGACGCCGGATGCCAACCTCCAACCGCCGTCGCAAAAAACGGAGACCATAACAATATGTCACCACTTTTGGTGGTGACATAATTAATATACTGGTATATCAAAACACCGGAACAGCTTGACAACTGTGATGTCAGATTCCATTGTCCAAAATGGCCTTTTCGATTAGATTTTCTTCCACTGCATGTTTAATAGAGCTAAATATGTTTTCACATCAGGAAAAATACATTAGAGGCCCCATATGAACTTTAAACCACTTTGGCTTATATTATAGTCCTACCTAATGTTATTAAAATATACTATATGAAACATTTTAATATAATTTCAAAAAGCTGATTTTGAAGGACTTTTTGTTTCATTTTTCATGGAATGTCTTGAAAAAACAACCATGTACTCAAAAATATTTTGTTAGACATCTTGAAAAGAGTAATGTTAACTTGACACAATTTTTGTCAGAGCTCTGAGCAGAACTGTCTTGGAATGCTTAGTATAGTGTTAATAAAAATAAGTAACAACTTCGGTGGTGACATAATAGGGTTACTAATAGATAGAAGTAATTACCACTGTCCATATATCAACAACTTTTCCAATGCCAGTATTTTTTCCTTCGACATGCTCTTCAGTAATTTCATCATAGTCAAACGTAGGAAGACGCAGGTTCAAAAGGTAGAAGGAGTAATGGCAACTTCCCAACTCAAACAGTGGTAGGACACTGCAATTGTATTGCTGGCCGTGTGTTTTCTGGAACAAACATCAGTCAAAAATAAGTGAATTTTTCAATGGACCAATTAATAATTTCAGTATGTGTAAGAAAATAATATATATCATGGCCTACACTTCTTGACTCGAAAAATAATTAGTTAACTAAAAAAAGCCAAAAGTCTCCAAAAACCTGCTAAAAATATGTTGGATTATTAAAACATTGCAATGGGTGTCAGGACTGAGGACTCATATAGATGGCAGTAAACTAATTTGCTAAAGTGGGTTGTTCTTCATCAAGTCCCATTGGTTTGTGTATAAATGTATAAATCTTAAAACTTCGAATACATTACTACATAATAAATAAAATTAGTTTCACATTTTCTCATCATGGTTTTTACTATCAATGTTTTAAGTTTCAATATCATGATGTTTTGGATATTTTCTTTGAAACTTAGAAGATTTTTGAAGCAATTTTATTACATATTATTGTATACAGTTAAACCCACTGTATTTTTGCCGTCCATTGACAGTCTTTAAGACCATTGTACTGGTGATCAGGCTTTTCCCGACATAACACACACTGGTCAACGACAATATTTTGCATGCAATGGACAGAAGTTATAGGAAAATTAATGTATTGTACAATTGGGCTTACTAATGATTGTTCTATTGAACAGTCCAGAGTCCTGATCTCCTCAGCAGCTGCTATTAGAGTCCATGGCTCAGTATCCTTGTTCCTTCCTCCTAGTTTCAACTCCAGGCTCACCATAGCATTTTCCTCTGTAAAATCATATTCAAAATAACAATTCACATATTATTATTAATGACTAATAGCAGCCAGGGGGGGATTAACCCCAGAGTTCAAAGATGACCTATGCTTATAATGTAAACCTGTATTGAGATGACCTACGCCTCTGATTGCTCAAAATTGACAAACAAAAATGGCAGCTTCAAAATTTCCAAAATACGCTTTGAATAATATTGATGTTCATCATTCTGATGTGTTAACCAATTAGCTTCTTATTACTAATCAAGATAAAGAAAGGTGTACGGAATATGAATATCGAAGAGTAGTTATTTGAAACTAGCCAGTGAAATTTTGAAACAAACGAAGATGGAAAGCAAGAGATGGGATGATGTCTGTTAGCCCTGGGGCTTTCCCTCCTCTTAATAGTAGCTAGCTCGCTGGCGGATTGATTGAGAAAAGGCTAAATTGGTAGGGTATCATGGGTACCAGTTGTGGGGGTGGAGCTGCTAAACTGTTATATGGTCTAACTAAGGCTGAGGTTAGTTTTTAACTAGACTGCACACAGAGTAAACCAACATAAAAAATTCCATAATGAGTAACTTACTGATCTCATTTCCCTCCTGGTACTCTATATTGATATCAAGCACTGATGTTATATGTTGGAACCAACTTGACATCTGTAGATTGTGACCATCTCGTGGTAGAGGTATCATGAAAGCAAACACCACTTGGTTATTATGGACATCAGGGCCTGAAAGATATTCAAAAGGCTAGTATACAATATATTATTTGGGTATAATTGCTCGATAGGGTGATGTTTTGTGGTTATTGAGAAAAAATCTGGTGCGAAGAAAGGACTTACAATATTGCTAAATCTAACCACATTGGTGGTGCTCACCAGAGTGTGAATAAACTCATTCAATCTAAATTTTTTATTTATTATTCAAGCATAAAACAAGCCCTAGACTTAGGACTTATCAAATTGCATATGACTCATTAATAACTTGCATGATTTCCATAAAGTAGTTTCCATAAATGTACATCCCATAGAAATGGGTCAAAAAACACTGACTGACTACATGTTTTGGGTGGCCAAAAAACAACTGTCTAAAAGTTTAAATATTTCTTTCTTTAGTTAATACATATGCACCCAACCTTATTTTCCAGTCAAATACAGAAACTTGTGTCTATTTTGGAATTCTCCCGACTCAAACAATTTTTGGAAACTTTTTAAGAATGAGTTCTCCATGACAGTGGTAATTATGAGGTCTATGTGACCAACTCTCTGAATTAAATAATATATGAGTACAATGATCATCACAAAAATATGTGATTGTCAATAGAACCAAATATAGCTGGTAAATGAAAAACGTGACAATCTCACCTAGCTCATCTAAGGTATTAGCAGATTCACATTTGCCCGGACCCCTGGGGGTATACCAAGTTTTCTTGTACCAGGCAGCTGATTTGGTGCGACTTTTTTCTTTACAGATAGTTCCCAGCACATTGCTGACATTAGATGGTGTTGGTGCTGAAAAATATAAGTTACTTTTGTATTCTAATTTATATGTTTTGTGGTAGAAAGAATCAAGGTGTTCCTCTGTGTAATTATATAATGCATTTCTATGACAAATATTGGGGACATGGAATTAAATATGTTTGTTTATATCTGTGATGTTAACCTTTCTTGACCTCAGTCATGTTGATCTGGGCCTCAATTTTCATATGTTTAAATAAATAGGGATATGTATTGATTGTCATCACATTTCCCCATATGTGAATCTGATGTACAATATATCCATCTACAGAAAGGTCAGAATAGATCTCAATTATATATTGGAAGCAATAGACTTAACTAGAGTTCGTAGCATGATAAGAACTTAGAATGTTCTAAGTTTGTGCTAACCAATTGGCATGATTCCATGTTGATTTTAATGACTATTATTTGATGTGGTGTTGAATAGCTTGTAACTAAGATATTAGCTGGAAGTCATCCTGACATACATCTTGTGCAAATATGCATCCTGCATCCCCTGGTTTTAATTCATACAGGTTCTCTTTTATTAACACTACCTGATGCAATCATCTTGAAGGTACATACATGCTGCACCATTCAAAAGTTTACTGGCAAGGGTGGGGAATTAAAACAAAAAATATTTTGTCCTGTCAAATTCCTTTTTCAGAGGCCAAATTAATAAGTCAATTTGGAAAACCTGGAAATTAATAAGTTTTGTTAAATATTCCCACCCCTGGGTCCTGCCCTTGAATTTGCTTACTAAAACATCTAATATCCATGTTAGTCGGCGAATGTTGAAAGATACATGTGCACATTGTGGCGTACTTTGTATCAATATTTTAATTAGGGATTACAAATAGTCACAAGATTCCAAACGGAAAGCCAACGAAATGTGTTTGAGGTGACATTGAACTTCACAGATCTTTAGAGGAAATTTGAGAATTTAGCAATTTTGAAATTTTCAACTTTTCCTGAGAGGTTGTTTTTATTTCACGGTGTGTGTGCCCTGTTAAAACAAAGGCTATTATCTTTAACTCTAAATCAGATGAAACTTTTAAATTCAATAACGAAGTGATTGAATGTGTTGAAGATTACAAATATCTAGGGTGTATTTTTAACAGGAATAGTAATTTTGATAAGCAAATAAGCTATCTTAAAGAAAAATCCAGAAAAGCTCTATTTAAAATAAAGCAACAACACCATAAGTTTAATGACATTCCTATATCTGTTGCATTACATTTATTTGATTCACTTATCCAACCAATTCTAATGTATGGTTCAGAAATATGGACAAGTAAAAAACATATTAAGACAATTGAAACTATCCATCTTTCCTTTTTGAAAAACATTCTTGGTGTGAAAACATCAACTGCAACACTAGCAGTTTATGGAGAGCTGGGTCGTTTCCCTTTGAGTCTATGTTTTGATATTCAACTTATTAAATATTGGATAAGGCTTATAAAATTGTGTCCAGACAACGTCCTTTATAAATCATATCATTATGATTATGAAATGCACAGTCTGGGTTTTAAAAATACATGGTCAAGTAAAGTTTATAACATTTTAAAAGATTGCAATCTTCTTTTTAACTGGAATGAACAAATTGTTGAAGATGATTTCACATTTATAAATGTTTTAACTAAGACAATGCACCAAAATTATAAGGACAAATGGAAGTGTGATTTACAATTATATCCAGTTCTGAGAACATATGTTAAATTTAAGACAACTTTTGAATTGGAGCAATATTTAAGCCTTCAAAACAAAAATCATAGGCAATCCTTTACCCGATTAAGGTTAAGTTCTCATAAACTTCAAATAGAACTGGGTAGACATGTGAAACCACGGCCAAAACCTGAACATGAAAGAACGTGTAACGTTTGTGGAGAAATAGACAATGAAATTCATTTCATGATAAATTGCCAAATACATCAAGAAAATAGAAAACTATTGTTTGAGAACATCAACAGCAAAATTAAATTTGATAAATACCATCCTGAAAATGCATTCATAATGTTAATGTCCTCAAAAGATAAATATGTCCAAAAGCAAGTTGGCATTTTTATAAATAAAGCATTCAAGGTCATTGAACTTGTCTGAAGAACATTCTGGATGCATCACACTGCTTTAAGTATTATGTATAGTTAAATACATGTTAATAACATGTTTTTGTATATATTGTATTTGTATAATAATAGTGTAGTGTAGTGTAATGTAGTGTAGTGTAGTAAGTTTTTATTTTATTTTTGTACTGACTAATATGTCATACTATGACATTCTAAGAGTCAATAAAAGATATATATATATATCATTATAAAAACACATTAAATCTGTGCAAGTCCTTAAATAGCAATTGTTGAACAAATGAGGGAAATGTTGTACAGGAATACTTACTGTTCCTGTCAACTGCTCGGATTGTTGGTGACAAAAATTATTTTTACAGGAACATTTTTCTACATTGAGAGATTCCATCAATTCTCAAGATGGCGTTTGGATTTAAAAGGGGATTCCCCATTTGACTGGCCCGGAAGTACCAATAAATGGAGGAATTTGACGGTTGAAATAAGTTTAATATTACACGCAAATATTGCAATCAAAAACAAAAATTCCTTCGTTCTGCCAATAAACCCAGACAATTGTGGATTCAACTACACGAAAAGAATGCTAAAATACCAAGGAATCTATTGAAGTAGGTAGAGAAGTTTTAATCATACAAGTGCAAAAGATAGCGCACAGTCAAGGACTATAGTCCTGGAACGGGATAAACCCTGTCCAGGGGCATAGCTACATATACGCAGAATACGCAGCTGCGTACTATTGAGAGTCAAGACCACCATAGAATATCACATAGAAACTCTCAAAATGCGCCAAATAACTTCCAAAAATCCCAAATTTTTGGGGGAACATACCCCTTGACACCTTAGTTTTGCTCAGCCTACGGCCTCGCGTACTATCACTTCTAATTCTGGCTACGCCCCTGCTGTCTCTTATGTTGACTTTACCCCAAACGTTGATGTTACACCAATTTGCCCTATTTGTTCAACAAAAGTAGAGAATATAGTAGTAATAAATATCAACTCACCAACAAGACCACCCACAAGGAAAAATGTCAAAAGAAGCAAACCAAGAAGCACTCCGAGTCCTATCAATTTCCTGTTGCTGAGGTTCTCTAAAATTACTCCTCCCATGATTCAGCCGATAAAAAGTTTGTGAAAAATAATTCCTATCTTCTCAAAAAGCCGGGTTTTTGAGCACAAGCCATAAATTCATAAAATATCTTCCGAAAATTTTCAACAAAGTTTTTAATTTTTCACATGGAGGCTCATTAGAGTACAGCGACATCTATGAGTAATTTATTCATGAAAGGGGTGAAAGCATTCATAAGAAATAATGTTTCATGTTTTTTAACGATAAAGTTAGGTTCTCGATCAATTTGAATAAATAAACCAGTTATTTTATTGTATTTATAAGAACATAGATTTGAAAATTATCTTGTCTGAATAATTTATTTTATAATCTATTTATGTTGAACACAAAATAAATAGACTCGTCTAGACTAATCTTACAATGGCGGCAGATTTGAAAATCTTGAAATTTGACAGAAGAGAATGATTGATTGTCATTTTTCCATTTTCAGCAAGAGTAAGATTCGTATATTATTGGTCGTCTAGTAAATTTCAGGTGAGTTATTTCTAGCATATTCTCGTGTATAATGAATGACTGAAGAGAATGGAGACAGGTTCAGTACTCGGTCAAGATCACACCACTCCACTGTGACTGTGACCGACACTCACTGCTCATGATTTACTGAACGCAGCTGGCTCAAAAGCCTTCTGTCAGCTCGGTAGAGTAACTCATGATTGTGATTCAGAGACCTAGTCTTTAAGGCTTAGGCCAAGGATGAACTGAACAAAGTTGATACCGTGCTGAGAGTCACTGTTGGTGTGATTTCCTTCTAAAACAATGGACTTAGATATCTACTAAGAGTGGTAAAATTAGAGTATGCAAAATGATTGTGCTGATGGTGATCAAAGTTCTAAGATCATATCAAAGTTTAATAGTGCTATGGAGAACACTGAATCTAATTTACCTTCTTCCAAAGTAATTTTTAGGCATAGTAATATGTATGCACCTAGTTTGTGATTTCTTGCTAAAATAGGGAGCTAGTTTGTGTTCATTTCTTTTTTATCTCATGATCTCATGTGAAATATTTTTTTTTGTACTGGAACTGGGTAAAGAACTGGGTAAAGATATACCTATGAAACGAAACTCAAGTATTTTCCATTTATTTGAAAAGTTCGAGATCGATTAATGTGTTAGTCTTCGAAAAGTCCAATGTTGCTAGGCACGTAGTTTGTGATCGAAATAAACTTTGTACCTAAGTTGGCATGCAGCTTGAGTACCTTACGGTGAAGCTGCCATCTTTAGATAAAGATTTTAGTATAATAAAATAAAAATTTTTTGATGTTTTTAAATACATATTTTTTAAGAGCAGCCAATTCTCGTTACCAAAGATGTACCAGCATAATTCAGTAATTGTGTATTTATTTTGAATTTTAGTTTGTTCACTGAAAGTTTATCCTCTAAAGATGGATTCTGAATATGAGTCTGCTCAACACATAGCAGCGTCATCCCCGATGGACCACTTTCATCAGAATGATCCAGATGGTCGCAAACATTCAAAGTAAGCTTTCAACGTAAACTATTCCCAATATTTGATTATTATGATAATACTCCTGTTGCTGACGGGGTCCCACTGAAAATGTAAAAGTTATGGAATTTGACTCTTTCAACCATTAGCATATACCCTAGGCTCCAAGAATATATGAGGTGCTTGTCTCAAAAGTGGTCAGCGAATTTTTAATTAGCTATTATAGTGGCGCCCTCTTTCCATTTTCTGACATAGGGGTGGCTTGACAAAATATTTTTTTAAAGTTGTTTCCTCTATGCCATTGGAACGATGAATGTATATTATTGAATAGAAATGTTTGAAGTATCCTCTGAATTTTTTGGGCATTTGTGTGAATAACGGTTCTAAATAATTAACCCTTTGAATACTAAAAATTGGTTAAAAAGCGGGGCTATACTACATATCTTTACATCGTATGGGTAAAACAAAAGATTTTGATTCTCTTTTTTAATTTTATTATAAACTTGGTTTAATAAAGGATAAAATGGCATGGTATTTGTTTTTTTCGAAAATCATTGATTTTTTCAGAAAAAATATCCAAAATTTGCCATATTTTTTTAATATTTCACTATATTTCAAAAGCTCATGACAGGAAAGTTTTTTAAAATAATTTACAAATAGATAATGTTAATCCAACATACACAGTTATATAATGTGCTAATCTACGTAAATGTTTATGCTCTTCTCAATTGGATATATATTGATTTAGAGGTATTAACCCTTTAAACACTAATATTACTCGAATTATTTTCATGTATTATTCTATTCAAAAATAGTATTATATTATAAATATCCAATGTTCATTTATCTTCATTTACAAATTTGCAAATGACACATACATACATTTTATATGTTTCTAGACTACTGATTATGTATTTCTATACTAGTATTTTAACCCTTAGGGCACCAATACTGATGAAAATGTTTTCATGTGTTATTGTGACAATTGTATTCAGTTGTAAACATCCAATGTACATTAAGCTTCATTTATATTGTTTCATATATACATTTTATAATTTCTAGACTACGGATTATGTGCTTATGTACTATTTTAACCCCTTGAACACTAATTCTGATAAAATATTTTCTTGCATTATTCTAGCTATTCAAACAATTGAATTAAAAAAATCCAATGTTCATTTATCTTCATTTACAATGTTGCACATATAGATTTTATCATTTCTAGACCACTGATTATTTGTTTCTTTAATAATTTAACCCCTGGAGCACTAATGTGGATGAAATTGTTTGCATGTGTTATTTTATTGAAACAATTGTATTCAGTTGTAAACATCCAATGTTCATTAAGCTTCGTTTACATTGTTGCATATATACATTTTATAATTTCTAGACTGCGGATCCTATGCTTTTGTACTATTTTAGCCCTTTGAACACTAATGCAGATGAAAATGGTTTCATGTGTTATTATATTCAAACAATCATATTCAGTTGTAAACATCCAATGTCAATTTATCTACATTTACAATGTTGCAAATATACATTTTATAATTTCTAGACTATATTGGGTGTGAACCAAATTAAGTATGACAGTTGAACGCACAGGGTGGGGTTCAATACGAGGATGTTAAAATTTGAGCAAACTGATGTTTCCATAGTTTCAGTAAGATCTAGTCTAGTTTCTAGATATTTTTATATATAATTGTCTGTAACAACATCTTAGACAACTTTACAGTGAATTGCTTAGTCAAACCAACACAAACTCCAAATGTAGTATATGGTGAAATGTGCGTGTACATCTACCTGAGATATTGTACAAGGCAAATTCAAGTTGTTTGTTTTGTACCTTACCATAACCGGGCATTTGTGAAGGTTGAACTATAAAATTCACAGTCAAGCTCACTGTCTAGGATGCTGTGACAGACATTTACATGTAAAAATATTTAGAAACTAGATCAGATCTTTCTGAAACTATGAAAACATCCGTTTGCTCAAATTCCATCACCCTTGTGTTTTACCATACCCTGCCCCTTTAATTGTCATGCTGAATATTGTGCACACCCTGTTGACTATGGATATTATGTTTTTGTACTATTTTAACCCTTTGAACACTAAAACAGATGAAAATGTTTTTATGTATTATTCAATTCAAATAATTGTCTTCAGTTGTAAAAATCCAATGTCCATTTTACAATGTTGTACATCTACATTTCATAATTTGTAGACTACTGATTACATGTATGTGCTTCATTGCTTCTGTAATATTCAATGTCAAATACATTCTTTTTATTTTTAAACATGATGAAATAACCTTTTCAGCCCTCTGAAAATGTGACAGAAATATAGCTAAAAGTAGAAGCTTAGGCAAGGTCACTGAACAGAATCTTTTGATTTTTTCAGAAAATATGCCCAATATTGTTCTTAATGATGCAATCTTTGAAAAAACTGAATTGAAAAGCAATCTATTTTCCTTTTATAACATTCTCAGCAGATTTCACAGCTTTTATTAAATTTCGTATATCCCTTGCTTCTTCATCTCTTTTACAATTTGAATTATGTGTAGATTTTGGCATATCCTGAGTCAATCTAACACCCCCTTGTGTCACTCGCACCGTGCAGTTTTTACTGTCGATAAAGAGTTCCTCCCCATTTTCTGTAATAAATTGAGGATTGACGCCTATATCTATTTTGTTAAATTCGAAATGTCCCGATTTTTCATTCAACCCCTGTTATACGCCTACCACCAGTGATTTGTCTACATGTTTTACGATATTGAACAAATATTTCACTCTATTGAGGTGAATACCTGTACATCTTTCACAAGTGATATTCCACGAAGCCCGGAGGGCAAGTGGAATATCACCTTGTAAAAGTGCTACAGGTATTCACCGAAAATAGAGTGAAATATTTGTTTTATTATATCACTGTCTAGCTAAACATCCCTAATATTATTAAGTCATAGCTAGGTCATAAGTTAACATTGAAATACATATATTTTTACTCGGTTTGTATGCCATTTTGACTTACACAAATTATTGACACTGAACGAAAACAAATTCTTCGAAAATTCCCGGGAGCGTGGGATATCGCTAGATATCTCACGGTTGTCTTATCTGATTAGCATTGCCATTGAATATCGCCAGATATCCCACGACATGTGACCCGGTTTTGACCAATCATACTGTCGCTAGCTAGATCGTGATATAATAATGTGATTTATTACATCTTCGAAAGTGTGAATATTTGGATTCTGACAATGCCTGACACAAGTAAAATGCCCTTGTTCCATATGGTAAAGACGTGTGATCACACTGAAATAAGACAAATCGCTAAATAACTTTAAGCTTATATAATGTTCCTAAATGGTCCTCAAAAATACAGGAAATGTTGTTATTTAGTATACTTTACATTGATAACAACACAATTATATGAGCTACGATTGCTACGTCGTTTCTATCTACTCTTAGGTATTTGTTACGTTATCACTATCACTTTGTTACGTCGAAGTATAATAATTTGACAGAATGACTGATTTGTTAAAACAAATCTTCCAAATATACTATCTGACCGTTCTACTATCTTACCTTAAATTCTACTTTAAAGTTGCTCATAGGAAGGAAATATGCTGAAAATGCTGAATGCTGAAAATCTTACAATATGCAAAGTTACTCACCGATCAACGTGTATGCTTAATCTGTAGCCAGTTTATTAAATCATCGGTATACTGATTAAAGTCACATTACTTGTGCTTGAAAAAATACACCAAAGGAATTATATAAAGGATTTAATAAAACCTCATAGAGATACATGTGCCATGAGTTTTGTGCTACTGGGCATGATGTTTGAGATACGTTAAACGCCAATGAGAAAGATCTGATCTAGTTTCTAGATATTTTTTACATGTAAAATGTCTGTCACAACATCCTAGACAATGAGCTTAACTGTGAATTCTATAGTTCAACCTTCACAAATGCCCAGTTATGGTAAGGTACAAAACAAACGACTTGAATTTGCATTGTACAACATATCAGGTAAATATACTCGCACATTTCACAGTATACTACATTTGGAGTTGGTTTAACTATGAAATTCACAATTATATATAAAAATATCTAGAAATTAGATCTTACTGAAACTATGAAAACCTCAGTTTGCTCAAATTTTAACAGCCTCGTGTTCAACCCTTCCCTGTTCGTTCAACTGTCATACTTAATTTGGTTCACACCCAATATAGTCTAGAAATTATAAAATGTATATGTGCAACATTGTAAATGAAGATAAATGGACATCAGATGTTTACAACTGAATATAATTGTTTGAATAGTGTAACACATGAAGACATTTTCATATGCACTAGTGTTCAAAGGGTTAAAATAGTACAAAAGCATAGGATCCGTAGTCTAAAATCATAAAATGTATATATTAAGCAACAATGTAAACGAAGCTTAATGGACATTGGATGTTTACAACTGAATACACTTGTTTCAATAAAATAACACATGAAAACAATTTCATCCATATTAGTGCTCAAAGGGTTAACATATTAAAAAAACAAATAATCAGTGTCTAGAAATAATAAAATCTATATGTGCAACATTATAAATGAAGATAAATGAACATTGGATTTTTACAACTGAATACAATTGTTTGAATAGCTAGAATAATGCAAGAAAATATTTTACCAGAATTAGTGTTCAAGGGGTTAAAATAGTACAGAAGCACATAATCCGTAGTCTAGAAATTATAAAATGTATATATGAAACAATATAAATGAAGCTTAATGGACATTGGATGTTTACAACTGAATACAATTGTCACAATAACACATGGAAACATTTTCATCAGTATTGGTGCCCTAAGGGTTAAAATAGTATAGAAGTATATAATCAGTAGTCTAGAAACATATAAAATGTATGTATGTGTCATATGCAACTTTGTAAATGAAGATAAATGAACATTGGATATTTACAATAATTCTATCATTTGAATAGAATAATGCATGAAAACATTTCGAGTAATATTAGTGTTTAAAGGGTTAATACCTCTAAATCAATATATATCCAATTGAGAAGAGCATAAACATTTACGTAGATTAGCACATTATATAACTGTGTATGTTGGATTAACATTATCTATTTGTAAATTATTTAAAAAAACTTTCCTGTCATGAGCTTTTGAAATATAGTGAAATATTAAAAAAATATGGCAAATTTTGGATATTTTTTCTGAAAAAATCAATGATTTTCGAAAAAACAAATACCATGCCATTTTATCCTTTATTAAACCAAGTTTATAATAAAATTAAAAAAGAGAATCAAAATCTTTTATTTTACCCATATGATGTAAAGATATGTAGTATAGCCCCACTTTTTAACCAATTTTTAGGATTCAAAGGGTTAATTATTCAGAACCGTTATTCACACAAATGCCCAAAAAAATCAGAGGATACTTCAGACATTTCTATTCAATAATATACATTCATCGTTCCAATGGCATAGAGGAAACAACTTTAAAAAATATTTTGTCAAGCCACCCCAATGTCAGAAAATGGAAAGAGGGCGCCACTATAATAGCTAATTAAAAATTCGCTGACCACTTTTGAGACAAGCACCTCATATATTCTTGGAGCTTAGGGTATATGCTAATTGTTGAAAGAGTCAAATTCCATAACTTTTACATTTTCAGTGGGACCCCGTCAGCAACAGGAGTATAATAAAGGTAAAGGCCTTCTTGTATTGTTAAGTCAATATCAGCTTGGCAGGTTGTAAGTGGGCAGTGGTGTCTCATTTTTTGTCTGTCCATCTCTGGACAAAAGCTCATCTCAGTGATTGATTTAAAATTTTCAGAGATGTTTTCAGAAATTCAAGAATTGCCTAGATTTTAGTCATGCTGGGTAAATTTCAATGTTGATTTTTAGGTATGATATTATTCACCATATTTAATGTCTTTTCAGCCTTCAACAGGTGCCAGCCTATGCAATGAATGAACATGGAGATCACCATGGTCACAGTAATACTCCAGATGCCTACGAACAACACCAAAGTAGAGACCAACAATATTCATCAGCAGACCCAAACAACAACTTACCCCAAGATCAAGCCATGGCTAACAAACCAACATTAATATACAGCCATGAAATGCTGAGTCAGCAGGCCCAAAAGCTCATTGATGACATCAATGAGAAGAGAAAGCAAGACACTGTACTTATGGAAGACTATAGGAAATCATTGGAATTAAATGTAAGTTTGGAATTTATAGAAAATAATAATATATATGAATACACAATATAAAGTCCTCAACTGTAAGGTAAGATAGTCACAGGTGACTCTAGAAATATAAATTATTTACTGGGTATTCCATAATAACATGTTTTACCTGGAAAATAAACAGGGAATAGAAATTATATTTAAAAAATCCAGTATCAGATTCCATATCAACCATAATCCCGGCAGTATAAGATCCCATATTGGATCCAGTATCAGCCAAAATCCAGTATCAGAACTATTTCCAAGATTATGGAATAAATAGGTTATTGATGGTCAATATGATATTTTCCTTGGGCAATATCATATTTTCCCTTGGAATAAAATTTATATTTCAAACTTGAAAATGAATAAGTTTCAGATAAAAGATTATGGAATAAATAGGTTATTGATGGTCAATATGATATTTTCCTTGGGCAATATCATATTTTCCCTTGGAATAAAATTTATATTTCATCCCTCCCATTAAGTAACCTCTCCATATTTCATTGTGTTTCAGATAACATTTTTTTACTTCTTGATTGTTTTTTGTGGATGGTGTTTGGTGGTTGGTGTTTGGCATTGGCATTTGTCATCTGTAACAAATGGCAGGTAGTGACATTTTGCATGTTAATGCCTTGTTGGAGTTTTGCAATGATGTGTATTTTGTGATTTTATTCAGTAATAAAATAACAAACAAAAAAATCCCCAAAGCTTTTTATTTTGTTCATTATATTATTTGTATAATTGACCAACACAACTCTGCTAAATTCTTTTCCAGGTCCAAAAGCAATGTGCGGCTGTAGAGGAACACATGTTTGGTCTCTATGAAACAACAGGCAAAACCATCCAAACAAAACTCCAGGAACTTTATTCTACATTTGATCGTATTGCTAAGCTGGAGGATGAACTGAATCAATTTAAAAGTGCCCTTGGGATGCTATATCAGGATGTCAATTCTTCTGAGTGACAGTAAATGGGCAAATTAATTCTGGTAAAATTATTTCGAGAAACATATAGTGCTATTTGTCTCTCTGAATTACTAATCTCCATGGAGCAAACTATAAAATTCTCATTTTGGTAATCTTTCCAATCTGGGTGCAAACTGATCCTCAACTGGGTGCAAAAATGATCCACAATGGGGTGCAAATTGATCCTCAAACTGGGTGCAAACTGAATAATCAATTCCACTTATATATAGTTATGCTGATGAGACTGCCACAGTAAGTTTAAACAAGGGGAGAGTATGGCAATTTCAAATAAAATAACCACAGAGATCACAGGCTCCTGATAACCAACTGATTATTCAGCTAATCTCATTCTAAATGCTTTAATTTATTGATTATCTTGGTGGAAGTATTATTACCAGAATCAAAGTTTTGAAGAATTCAATATTTTATGACATTTCACATTTTACTCATGTTTAAAAAATATAATGTTAGCTAATAATGTACACAAATCACAAAGCAAATTTTAAGTTCATATACTCCTCTTCACAGTTTAAGTATCACTAGAGATGAGAGCTTGAAACAGGATAAAGTCTATGTCCATAATTCATGAAGAGATCTCATGACTCTCCTTTGGAAAGATGAAATATTCAAATACCTTTGATGAGTCAAGATGGAATGTCTTTGTAACTAATTATTATCATTCGAAAGAGCCTATTACTCTTAACTGCTGATATAGTCATGTACCATGAAACATGATAGTTGTGATTCACTGCCAATAAATGGGTATAGTATATTTTGCTTGATATTGAGGAATTTATGGTGTAGTATCTTTTGACTTGCAAGTTCACATTATTTGATTACAAATAAAACACTAGAATAAATTTTGGGATGAAACGAGACAGGTCACAGATGATTACAGGTAAGGTAGTGTTACACTGTTCACCCTCCACACAAAGATAGTATAGTAAAACCTGTTTAAGTGGAACACCTTTGCTACCTCTAAAAAGTGTTCCACTTGTGAAGTGTTCCATTCATAAAGATTTATTTAACATTTAGTCAATTGGTCTTGAGACTCTGAAAAGTGTTCCATTTCTAGAGGTGTTCCACTTCGCAGGTTTCACTGCACTTTGTTCGGTGTACTTAATTTGGCAGCCGTTTTAATTTGGTAGATCCGCCAATTGTTAAAGTGCTAAATCAAGTAGCCGCCGAATTCCCCGGTAATTTTAGTAATATGTAAATAAGAACCATTAGTACAATGTAATACTGCAAGTCTGCCAAATTAAGTAGCAGACAAATGTTCAAAACAGCAAACCCGCCTAAATAAGTAGCGCTGAATTAAGTAGAAGTACAGTATAACATTGCCTATGGACGTTTCATCAGTGTCACTTATATCATTGTAAGAGCTACACCATAGCTTTCAATTAGGCATTCATATCACGGCAGAGTGTCTGAATATCAGAATACAGATACATGTATGCAGCCTTGCTTCAGGACCTTAGACCCTGCCCCTCCCCCTTATCTACTTTGTTAATAAGGGGGAGGGGCAGGGTCTTGAAGCAAGACTAACAGATACAGTATGTTATAGAATTTAAAGTGGGAATTATAGGATACAAACTCTTTGTATACAGTAGGGAATATAGATATATTTTTGTCAATCGATGAAGTCAACTTAACACCCTTTTACGAAACAATCTGTACTGCTCTATGTATTAATGAATGATAAACATGATTGTAAGTTAAAATAGAGCTTAAAAAATTGCAGATAAACAGATAAACTATGTTCTATTTTAACCAAATTGTAATGTAAAAAAGTTAATGTTACACTCTACAAAAGAATAAATGTTTCATAAAGAATGAAATTACACTTCGTCTCATTTTATAGATTTATTTATGACTTTTGCACGCATTAGTTTCCATTAGAGGAATAAGAGAACACATTAACCTTGTGATGCATCAACATTGATAAATCAAACTCCTGATTCAAGAAAAACATTACGGATATAATCTCAAGGGGACATATCAAAACAACAGTATTTGAAGAGGATGCCTATTCTGTTATTATAAAATGAATTTTTCAACAATGTCTCATGGTAATTTAGAGGTTGGCAAATAAAAATGAAAGAAATTTATTAGGGAATTTGAAAATATCCATTAATCTCTATCGGTTTGATAGTTTAAAACTATGTATAGTGTGTTCTATTGAATTAAAAAAAATGTCCACTTAAAATTTTGGAAAATATGACCCAATAATTATTGGTACTAATCATAAATCACAATTAGTATTCTTGCATCCATATTTTGTTTTTAAACAAAATCAGAATTTGAGAATATTGCACTTGATAATTTGACACAGTCCCTAAAACATGTTGAACTAGAAGAGGAAACATACATTTCCCCTCATACCAGGTAACTCTTTGGTTTGTGGTGTTATTGTGTTCACATCTATGCTTCACTTTCTCGTACATATGTGTGTATTATGAACACATTTGAGCTCAAAAGTTCACCACAGTGGTTTTTATTCAGAAGTCAATGGAGTATGTTCTGAAAAAATGTGTCCATTAGGTATACACCAGAATAATGTTTACTTATAAGGTTTAACTGTATTTCATTTTGACATTGAAGTACGTACACTGAAATACAGTGTAACAATCCATACTCCAAGATATTCTTAGAGATGGTTATTTAGAATTGATGAGATCATTACACTTAACCTCAATCATAGTCTTGCATCAAGAACCTTGACCCCCTCCCCCTATCTAATTTGACAACATTGTTGTAAAGTAGACAAGGGGGGGTCCAGGGTCTTGATGCAAGACTACCTCCATCGTCTTGGAAAGATTTGTTTTTCTGCAATGGTGATGACTTAGACTGGAAGAACATTAAAATTCTTATATTTGTAAATAATATTTCTACTACCCATGCACCAGGGGGACACAAACATGTAACCCACTAATTTTGGAATAATGATTTCTGAATATGATAATGGATGAATGTTCTTGATTTTATTTCTGTAGATAGTGTTCACAATATTTGGGAAGCAGTGGTGTCCTCATACAGGATCTACAACTTTGATATTTAAAGCTGAGGTATCTTGCTTTAGGCTTGCTATCGTATCAAGTTGTTCAAACATATAAGTTTTGAAGCTTGGTTCATCTTTAGCAAATCATTTCTGGTTTGCATCCTGACACTTGAAGTGAGATGTAGTGAATACTGGTGAATGATTTTAATTGAGTGAAACTATATTCGAATTGTTTAAAATTGTTCAAGTTTAACAACGGTGTTTCACTTGCTGGTTTCCAATATTGGTATTTCTGATGATATATGATGTAAATCGGTTTAATAATCTCATTAAATATTACGTCATCTTATTATTGATAGCAAAATAAGCATTTAATACAGTGTAAACATGACCATAGCTACCATATTATTAATTTGGTATCTCAAAAATATCATATCACATATTGCAGTGAACCCTCTGTATTACAAACAGCAATTTGTGATGCCCCCTCTACCAGAATGAACTGTTTCATCTCCCCGGATATGTTTCAATCACAAGATACCTCACATTCTTTCATGTTCCAGACTCACACTGTAAACAAACTTATTGACTTGTAAATTCTCATCTGTTATCTGCAGGGCCTTTAGGTCTCTATAGATCTATATATTACTACATGCTAGAGTACATCAGTATTGGTTGGATTTAAACAGAAACACAAGCGGAAATTATTCTGATTTAATCAGATCAAACAAGGTGATCATATTTTCACAGAGCAGAGTAAACTGGATCAATGCCATTTGGTGTTGCAGACAGTCAATGTGAGAAAAATCCATACACTTGTAAACAATTAAATATCCATATACAAGAAGTGTACTGTTAAATTCTTTATTTTTGAGAGGTATATCCAACGAGAACCTAATTTCCTTGTTATTCAGCAAATCTACTGATGAAGATGGGTAATGGGGATAACATATAACCAAATATGTTGAAAAGGTCGAGGGTCAATCTAAAGATAGCAGAAGATTATAATGAAATGTCACATTCTCTATGTTTTATATTTCAATACAAGTAGATGGTACTATAGATGGTACTCTGTTTAAGGGAGAATATTCTTATATCTTATATATTCTTCTTCGTTTAAGGGGAAATATCTCTTCAAGAGAGAGGATCTTTCTCTTTTCTAGAGAGAATACTCGGTCCTCTGCTCAAGAAAGAATTTTGCTCTGTTCATGAGAGAATGCCCTTCTGTTCAAAAGAGAATGATAATCTGTTCAACAGAGGATGCATCTCTGTTCAAAAAAGGATGTTTCTCTGAATGATCCTCTGTTCAAGAAAGGATGAATCCCTATTTAAGATTTAATAGAGAAAGATCCTTTGATCAATAGAGACTATTCCTCTGTTCAAAAGAGGTTGCTTCTCTGTTCAAGAAAGATTGCTAACGAGGCATTAACATGCAAAATGTCACTACCTGCCATTTGTTACAGAAGCAGAATACCAACTGCCAAACTCCAAACGCTGATTATTGAAGATCATTCACAAAATAAGTTGGAGAGAATAACAATATGTCACCACTTTCGGTGGTGAAATAAAAATGCTCCACCATTAAGAGAATACACATGTACATACATTTTCAACAATAATTCTTATCGAAGATTTTATTACAAAATGTTATTTACATAGTGTACATTTACATTCTCTAATCTTCCAAATAAATATATAATACAATACATCAACTGTACAGTGTACATACACACAAAAATGTGCACAATGTGTAGTATCCTATACCATCAAACTCCTCAAAGGTATATTAATTGCGTATCACACTTGTAAAAGTAGTATCATAAACAATATGTATATATTTCATAGTAGGGGCCTACAGATTAATTGACAATTTAGTGGGAATCATATTTTTTGAAAACCAGTAACTTTTTCACTATTATTGCAAAAATGTATGTCTAAATAACAGTAAGGCATTTACAAGATGAAATACCAAAGATGCTGATTACTGAATGCTATTTACTAAGTAATTCACAAAAAGGTGACTAGCAATGTATCATTATTTGACATAAAACACCCTTAAATACTTAAAAATGTAAGAAAAGTGGTATGATAATAAGGTTTTCTGATGCCCAAGTATACACCACTAAACAGTAAACAGACAGTTAATTTGTATGGCCTGACTGACAATAAAGTTTTCTCTTTGCGCAAATTGCTCATTGAGGAAGCTCACAAGAAACATTACTTGATAGTTAAAACATGCGTAAGAATGTTTTGCAAAAATCCTAATAGGATGAGGTGACTCCTATTTAATAGTTAACGAGTAATTTCATAATGAGTAACTTTGCAGCACCCCTTATTATGTTTACTATATTTTTGTGCTGTAATTTTTGCTTGTGAAATTCATTCAGACTGTTATTTGCAAATTCATGTTGTTACTTAAAATCTTCAATACTATAAGTTATTGAATGATTTGAAGTGCAATACCTGCTCGAGAAATTCCATATTGGAATGAGACGAAGTCGAGTGCCAATACAGAATATTGAGAGCAGAATATATCCTGTATTGCACTTCAAATCATTCTATATCATTTTTGTTGTGTGATCCTCTGTATTGCTATTGAGAATGTCCCATCCGTTCCAATATGTGACGGAGATGATCAATGGGGACAATCTCAGTAGCAATACAGATTGGTACAGCACAAGAACTGACCAATCAGAAGGCTTCATTTTACAGATCATACGATAAATTAACATGCATATTTCAAATGACAGATTTTAGCAAGATGTTTTCTTACAACTACACGAAGTTCAAAATACAAGTGCTTTTTATTAATTCTCACAAAATAATATGAAAAAATGATCATCTTTAATTTGGTTCATACAGAACAAATGACCAACAAATTCATTCAAAGAATCCTCACAATTATACATTTATTTTGTATAAATTCAAGAAACAATAATTACATATAGGTGTACAGTAAAACCTTATGAAATCCCAGCTTTGAAATTAAATCCAATAGCCAAAATTGTAATGTCTATCTTTAGTCTCTGATAGCTTTAGGTCTATTTGTGTCTAAGAGAGAATTAGGAGGGTAAATGCAAGTCAGGGACTTGACCTGAAACAAAATTGTTTGGGAATTTTTTCATGAGAAGAAAATGTTTAGCTCAACAGGTTTTACTGTACTGAAGTACCCTGGGTGTTGTACTACAATTTATATTTCAATAACAACTCGAAGCAGAAATAAAATGTGCCCATTTAACAATTAAATGTATGATACCACTTGGTACTTACGTCGATAAACAAATGCTGTACAATATAATAACAATATTTTACATAACTTTTTGTGCGTTTATTTTTAATAATGCGTTAATTGGCACACTCATGCATCATTTGGCCAAATCTATGTATCCACATATACACAAAACTGTTCCTTAACTGGCAAATGTAATAATAAAATTCCTACACATAGCAATACATGTAGATTAAAACATGTCATATTACAGTTGAGCACAAATGGAGCCCCATCTTGCCCAAATGGAGCATGGAGCCCCCTCCCCCATCCACTTGGGCTGTGCTACTATATCACTCACCAAGTGTTTCTCTTCAGATTTCTGGCTGAATATTTGACAATATTACAGAAATTTAGCAACAGAATATGGTTTCAGTGTAATAATATTTTAAAAAAACATTCAAACCCTGTGCTGTAGGTGGATTGAAAATCTCATCATCTTTAGGGAATGCCTCAATATTCTGATGTTTGCCAAAATTGTAGTTAATAAGTACAGTAGCTTAGATTCATCCCCTCCCTCCCCCAAATGTTAATATTTGTTTATTATTGCAAAATGTCATAGACTTTTATCCCATCTTCCCATTGTTGGTTCCCATGCTCAATCACTATGTTCTACTTGTCTTTCTATAATCTTTGGACATGTCCGAAGCTTGATGAAGCAAGATACCTAATTCCTTGAAATGAATTGATTAGATTTACGGCTAACATCAATATATTGAGGTTGTCCCTAACCAAGGTAGTTACGGTTATACAATTTCATCCAAATGGCCTAAAAGCAAAGAAAAAATGAAAGTATATTATAGAGGCCTAGAAAATAAAGTTTAAAAATTTAAACAATGTGTTTTTCTTGGTTTCTTATAGAACACATCTTTTTTGTGTTTATAAATGTTTTAGATGGTTCTCATGACTTTATTGAAATGATAAACCTGATAATATAAAATAGTATTTCTCAATTTTCAACGATCTATGGTGAAAACGATACTTGAGAAATAAGGTTTTGAGGTAGAATTAAAATGAGACAATACACCAATACTTCTACCATCTGCCTAGCAAAATTTTTACAAACTGTGTACATTCTTCTGAAATAAACACACTTTGTCATGAAGTTGCCATAAGAACAAAAGGAACTCAAAGGCTAATATGATTCCCATTGGTCTCTCGCAATAGTTTGTGTAGTTACCATGCTGATGGGTCTGTCAACAAAGGGCCTTTTTTCATTCTGGATCCCATCCCAATAATCAAGCTGACACAGAACAGAATAGAATGGAATCAGAACACATTTTGGAATTTGCTCTCAGAATTTGAAATGTTTTCATTGTATTGAAATATTGTGTATTAAAAAGATACTTTATATCTTACTTCTAATGTATTCAAAGTTAATGACCCTCTAAGGATCATGAATGGTGATATATTAAATCCAATTAATAGAACCAGTACTTCTGAGAGAATACAATTACAATACAAAACAATAAGTTTCATTCCAAAGGGATTGTTTTTGTCCAAAGGAATTGTTTTTGAGACATACAGAGGGGCTTGGAATATCCCCACTATAAATTTTGTTTTTTGGGATAATAAGCTCGAAAATGAAAATCAGGGACAGGTTTAATAGAGCTCTGTGTTTCTAACAAGAACTTAATATTCTGGAGGCAGTTGTGTTATTTACTTCACAAAGGCTCTAACTTCTCTTATATTCCTGTCTATAGCTACCCATAACACATAGGCTCTAAGTTCCCTTGTACCAGCCTTTAGCAACCCACAGAGGGTCAAAATCCCTTATCCCTGTTAATAGCAACCTATAACACCCAGGCTCTAAGTTCCTGTCTATGAAAACCCATAACACATAGTCTCTAACTTCCCTCATTCCTGTCTATGAAAACCCATAACACATAGTCTCTAAATTCTCTCATTCCTGTCTATGGAAACCCATAACACATTGTCTCTAACTTCCCTCATTCCTGTCTATGAAAACCCATAACACATAGTCTCTAAATTCTCTCATTCCTGCCTATGGAAACCCATACCACAAATAGGCACATAAAATATACCAAATGAGACATAGCCTAGACTCGAAATTGATAATATCACAGGTTCAGTCCACAGTAAATGGCGAATAAGATCATTCCACAATGCCAATGTGAACCAAAAATAGCGATTTGTACACGAGACAGATTCTTTTGGTTAAATTCTGTGCTAGGATTTGATTGGCTTAGAGCTGATTCCATTTTTAATTCCACTTGACGATTCTTTTCGTTCCATCTTTTGTCCATCAATGGCATCTGCCATTTTTGTATAATAGTCCAAAGCCCAATTCACAGGTCGTATAAGGTGTTCCTGAAACACATAGAAAGTATATATTTATTCATAAGGCATGTTTAATTTTAAATCACCAAACATGTACGAACTGACACAATGTCTCCCTTCAATATCCTCAGAAAGGATATTATATCTCCATGTGCAATTTCTCAACAATATAATAATACATGAAATGCATGATAATAAATAAATGCATCAAAAGCTTAATGGACAGAGGGTTAAATATATTTTGCAATTTTCATTGCTATTGAATTATATCCCCATTCACTTTGGCATATCATAACTCAATTTAAATTATATTATGTCCTACAATGTACTTAAGAGTTTAACTAGATTCAGAAAAACATGGTATCATAAAGTTTGAGAAAAATACCTCTATAGCTGGAAACATCTCCGCCAAGGCAGCAAACAGAGGCAAAAGTACAAATCTGATGAACCCTATTTGAGAGGAAGGTTTTGTTACTTTGTCTCTATCCATGAATGGTGCTACTGGCAGTCCTTCAAGCTTCTCCACGTCACTCTAGAAACATTAGAGTAAGATTATACTTTAGAAACATGACAGATGAATTATACAGGGTGTCAAATAAATATGTTCTCCCCCTTAGCTTTAACATTCACATAACTTTTTGTATGCATGACATCTGAATAGTTATTGAGCCAATTGAAACTAGGCTTCATGGACCAACTCCAAAAGAAATTTCAGATGACTAGCCCAACTTGAGGCACATTTATGCATAAAAGTTCATACTTTTGAAATTAAGAGGGGAGAACATATTTACTTGATACCCTGTACTCTAGAAACATTACAGCTACAATGGTTGTACAAAACACTTCAGCCACATTATACTTTAGAAATGTTACAGCTAAATCTTACTTTAAATATGTTACAGCTAGATTATATGAAATGAAATTTGAACATTTTTGGCTGCCATTGTGTGGATGCCTCGAACACTTTCAGACAATCTGAATACGATATTCTTAACGCTGTCACTCAAATTCTTAAAGGTTTTTACAAATAATTTTGATAAAAATTGGTATCAATGTTTTTGTATTCAGGCCTTGCCTTGTTGAGTCAACAATCTTCAAAATGTTGATTAATATAATAACCACAGTAAGAAATAGATCTTATTTAGGAATGTCATGCAAGAAAAATTGTGAATGGGAGGATGACAGAGGGACAAACAACAACACAGAACCTTAATTTAATAGAAAATAAGATTTATCTTTATTTACAGGTCGGGAAAAAGAAAATTGTAAAAGATCTAAGGATTTTGTACATTTACTTAATTACTGTTCATAATTACCAAGGAGGATTGGAAGCCGTTATTGAAATTCGATACTCCATTGCCCAGAGTAGACCAATTTGGTTACAATATTACTCATATTATGAAGACTAGAACTGCTGAGGAAGCTTGAATACTTCCAAAATATTCATAATGACCACCTTTCAGTGAAATACTCCAAAGAGAACCTTATAGAATTTTTTTTACTAAATTGTTCCACTGCAGGCAATGGAGTATAGAGTTTGAATAATGGCTGCCAATCCTCCTTGATAATCACATAATAATATTGTACTACCATATATAATTGTGGTCTATTTTCATGATTTCAATATTGAGAATTCAAAACATAATCTCTTTTTTGTATTATTATCATCCAATTCCATTTCTTGTCTTGATATATCAAATACAATGGTATAACCTTGTAAAAACAATAGTAATATGTTCATGAGACACCAACGACTGTGGTATCCTACATTACGGACCTGCATGAAGAATTCCTGTAGAAGGCAATCGAGCCACGGTTCTGCAACCTCCATAGGACGGGCCTCATTTGATATATCAGCAACTTTCACTAGTATTTGTAGAAGCTAAATAAACAACAGAGTGACAACACATCTAGAATATTGAGTCACTACGACGACACAGTGTACCAATATAACTATACTATAGATGTGCAAGGGAACACACTGAAACTCCCTCTGTGACTCTCACATTATTGAAAAGGGTTTCATTCTTTCGCTATGGCTGAAGTGTGCATTTTCATTTGTATCCAGAATGTATCCAGAATGTAAGATCTTTAAATACACCTCTGTAAGTAAAACACCTACATTACATGTAATACTTTTAAGAGTCCCATGACCCATTGGCTCAATGTTAAATGAACCCGAAGTCCAACATCTTTTTTATGTCTCAGTCAGAGTCACATAAGGTAGTTTACAAGCCACATATTGGGAAAGGTAACACGCATAAAGTGCAATGAGGGAAGCAATATCTTGCAAACCATGCAGAGGTAGAAAGCCGTCATATCTATATATTTCTACAACGGTGGGAGACAAGCAATGGAGGGAGCACTTGGAGCAATCAGAAAGTGTCAACTTTGATCCATCCATGGCCATCTCCACCCACACTGTTTCCCATTCCCTTTAATCCAATCATTGGGGTAGGCTGGTACATGCATAAGGCTAGGATAATCAAATTATATGTTCAGATTTTTAATTTTTTTTTTTTATTATTAAATTTATTTCAATAGAATACAAAAAATGTAAATACAGACATGTAAATTCTTAAATCGCCACAATGGCATTATATAAGAATAGGGGGCAGGTGGAAGTAGAAGTGGCAGAGCAGGCAGGGTCTTGGACTAGGGCAAGTGTGACGGGACTTGAGGATACTAGAGATGGATAAGAAGGAGGGAATTAGCTATTGTCTTTGATAAAATTAACAATGAGAAGTAGTATTTGGGAATTTGCATCTATGTTTAATTTGGGAATTCCTGTTTTCAAAATAGCTATGAAATCAGTTTGAGAGAGATTATGACTGAAGATGTTTGGTTCGAGATCAGTGAGTTTGTCCATGAATTGCTGTCTTTGTATAGTAAGTAAGTCACATTGAAAGAGAAAATGTTTCAGAGTTTGTGGTTTTCCACAAGTGCAATTAGGGCTGTCAATAGACTGAAAGTTGTGAGCGTAGAACTGGGCTTTGAAGTATAGGTCAGCTCTCACTTTATTGAGAACTATTTCTTGAACCCTTGTTAGATTAAGCTGGCTTGTTGACAAAATCGGGGGCGTTTTTTGGAAATGTACTCTTTGGTGTTTTTTAAAATTCGAAAGAGTATTCTTAGATTTAATAGCAGGTGGAAGATTGATCCAATTTGAAATTGCAGCTGGTATTGCTGAGGTGGAGAATCTATTTGAGCATCTAATGGGCATTTTAAATGCTTCATTATATCTCAATACTCTGTTTGCATGGTTTCTAAATTTGTCAAAAATATCAGTTACATAGGGAGGACTTGTACCATTTACAATTTTGAACATAAAGTTGTTAATCTGGATACTGCGTCTTGATTCAAGAGTTGGCCAATTGAGTAGGTTTAAAACCTTTTTTGAACTGCTCCCTTGGATACACCCAGAACAATAAAGTGCAGCTTTATAATAAAGACTGTCGAGTCGTTGTAATAGGAACTTTGAGGCTGTGCTGTACATGATAGCACCATAGTCAAAATGGGGTAAAATAAAGGACTTAAATATGGTTTCTAGATGCTTACTACCTAACTTATATTTAAGTTTCTTTAAAGGGTTTAACATTTTTCGTATTTTTGATATGATTTCTCCAATATGCTTGTCATATGATAAGCTTGGGTCAAAAGTAAATCCCAGATGTTTGTGCTCGTGATCTCTGGTAATTTCAACATTGTTTAACTTTGAAACAGAAACATTATCGACTTTAGATCTGGATGAGTGGAATATCATTTCAGAACTCTTTTCAGGTTTAAACTCCAATTTCCAGGTGTCAGACCATTTTTCAATTTTAATTAGGTTAGATCTGGCTATTGCATCTACTTCTTGTGGATGCTTAGGGTCAAAAGGATGATGTAGAGAAGTGTCATCCGCATAAATATAGCAATGCCCCTCCAGATTGTCTGGAAGGTCATTAATGTATAGGAGAAATAATATTGGCCCAAGTATTGAGCCCTGGGGGACACCACAATTGATAAAGTCATTTTCAGAATAATTTGAAAGTTCCCCAGATATCTGTACAGCAATTTTTCTATTAGTAAGGCAAGATTTGATAATTTTTTGAATTTGCCCTTGGAAGCCATATGCTGAAAGTTTATGAAGTAGTAGCTTATGTGGTACTCTGTCAAATGCAGCCGCTATATCTAGAAAAATTGTTTTGGAAGCTTTTCCTTGTTCAAATGTGCTCTGAAGAAAATGTTCAATCGATAAAAGTTGATGAATAGTACTATGACCTGGTAAGAATCCGGACTGATGTTTGAAAAGAAGATTATTGTCAATTAAATGCTTCCTGATTCGATCAGCTAAAACTTTTTCAAATACTTTAGAGATACAGCTTAAAAGAGTGATAGGTCTATAATTATTGATGTTTGATTTGTCATTCTTCTTAAAAATTGGGCAAACATTTCCAATTTTCCAGATATCCGGGTAGGTACACTTTGATAAAAGTTTGTTGAATAAGTTGGCTAAAGGTTTTGAAATGGTATGGGCTGTCAAATTCAACATTTTGTTGGTGATGTTATCTGGGCCACATGCCTTTGAGGTGTCTAAGGACAAAATTATTTTCATTACCTCGAATTGATCGGTCTGGGCAGAAATGAGTAGAGAATTAGTCCTAATTGGGAATTGGGGCAATTGATCAAAAGTTGCATCAGTATGATTTTTTGAGGCAAAGAAACTCATAAATCGGTTAGCTATATCAAGGTTGTTAGATAAGTCGTGTCCAGAGACATCATCATAGATACTAGAAATATCATTTTTATGTAAATTGTTACCAAGGAATGATTTAATTAACCTCCAATAGTTTTTATCAGATTTATTGAGTTGGTCAATTGATGAGATAGTTTTGAGTTCATGTGCCTCTTTGGCTTGTTCAATTAGTTGGGAAACTTTAGAAGCTTGTTGATTATAATTGAATTTGTTAACTTGATTAGGAGCTTTTGAAAATTTCTTATATAAAACTTTCTTTTTTGATATTTCACGTTTAAGATTATCATTGAACCATGGCTGGTCATTTGACCTTACAGTGATGATTTTATTTGGAATTTTGGATTTGTATATGTCCGAGAGTTTTTCAATAAAGTTAGAGGTAGCTAAGTCCAAGTCTATGTTTCTATCGATAATATCTGTCCATTCGGTATTTCTAATTGCATCATTCAAAGTTTCAAGATTAGCTTCATGGTATTTCCAAATGGTTTTTTTAATAGGCTTGGACTTAGTCACACCAACTTTAATTTGAGCTACAATTGTGCTGTGGTCGGTTTTTTCAATGGGATCAGTGACATCCCAGTTGTCAAAAATATCTGGAGAATCAGTCAAAATATGATCAATGCAGGATTTGGAGTGATCAGTTATTCTAGTTGGTTCACTAACAAGTTGTACAAAGTCTTGGTTATCTATGGTTTCTAAGAGTTTAGTTCCTGCTAAGTTTATGTCATCATTATCATACCAGATTGAATGTTTTGCATTCAGGTCACCCATCAGTATGACATGGTCAAAGGCCGGCTGAGATGTTACTATTTGATCAAGTTGAGTTTCCAATAATGAAAAATAATTTCTTGTTTCTGTTGCATTCTGACTGGGTGACCTGTAGCAAGTGCCAAATAAAATTCGTTTATGGTTCACAATAACAGTTACTAACAGATTTTTAATTGCCTTGTCCTTGAAATTAATTATGCAAAATGACACATACATGGATATGTCAAAATGTAAAGTGGAGAAGAAATATATGGTAGAATCACAATAAATGCTGAATTGAGCTTATTTTTGATGCTGTATTGAAGTTTTTGACTGAGAAGATATGCTGAACATTTAATTTTTTTCCCTTGGCCTCGCATGCAACAATTCATGCAGGCAAATATCTAAACAAAGTAAGACTCCTGGATGAACATAATGGATATTTCACATTTTCTTTTGTTTTATTGTATCGGCAATTTTCATTGAAAATCACTGTGAATACAGCCCAAGGAAAAATTACATTAATTTTGCAAAAATCATAGAATTTCATTATGCTCTAATCACAAAGTGTACTTACTATACAATATACACAAGCTTACAATACAATATCTATACAACAACTGCATGCTTTAAACTGAAGTCTAATCATGCATTTTGAAAGCCAACCTGGTTAAAAAATTCTTGAAGTAAGCAATCAATCCACGGTTCAGCAACCTCCATGGGTCGAGCCTCGTTTGAAATATCTGACACTTTCATCAAAATCATCATAACCTATTGTAGAAAAGCTATAGGATTAGACCTAACAGAAGCAACGTACTGGGCTATACTGGGGTGTGGAGGCATTATACTTAGGCTTGTCCTCAGCTAAGGTATCTGCTTCAAGCATTTTGGTATAAAGAACTGGTACATTTGTATACTGTAGGTATATCAAGCAGGATCTTACTAAATATTAGAAGCGGCCATTATGTTACCATGACAACTAGGAATACAAAAATGTCTCCCATTTTTTTGTGTAGCAGGAGACCGCTTCAATCCTGCAATGTGTGAATGTAAAATGCAGGATGGGGATCATTATTATCCACGAGTCAGGGCTCCTATTCTAAACGAAGCAATTGCATTCAAGTATATAAATATTAATGATTCGCTAGTCTTGCATCTTGCCTCTATTGTGTTTATGTTGTCACAATCTCTCAAAGTCTGGCCAAGAGCAAGATAGAGTAGGAATCAGAGACTTGACGCGAGACTAGGGAACCACATGCAGATACAATGCAGAAAATGTTCATACAAAACTTTGTAGCTATTAAAGAGGCAACAAAAGAAACAAAAGAGTTGATGGAAACTCGTTGAAAAACTGTCACAGTTTTACCGAACTGAGTTTTTGACCTCATTTTAAGAAAGTACCTTGATTTTTAAAGTTATCTTAGAGAAAATCTCCAAAAGTCAACATCTTCTGCAGAAAATTCTGCATCTTGAACTATCAGGTACTTTCTTGTTTGATCAAATACTGAACATTCTTAGATAGCATCATTGGAAAAAATTATTTCCAACTTATTACAATCACAGTATACATTGCTGCCACTTTAAGGTAGGCTAAGTAGAGTCATCTGACAAAATAACTTTCAAATGCAAATTCATTCCACAGTGACTACCTTAATGCTTTGAACTTTCGAAGCATGTTGATATCATATCAGATATTATTCAAAGATGACTCTTGTTATTTATAAAATAAAAAAATATAATAAACTAATGGCAGTTTTCTGTCATGGATTGTTCTCAAATGAGAAAAAATACTGATTTCTTGTTATGACTTTCCAAATTTCAACTGGGTACAGATTGACACTCAATCGGGTGCTGCACCCGGCTGATTCAATGTTATGAATGCAATGGATACCAACAAGATTTTATCTTTAAGATCTACGTACCAATGATTTGTGCTCTTTGTTGGTAAAATCTTTGTTGGGTATAATGGCTTTGAAAGAATTGAGTATGTCTGAATGTTTGGCCATGTCTGTTGCTAAAACACATCTGAAATGAACATTTCAAATAAGTTGTTATTATAAATTTCTAAATGATTCAAAGATTTGATAAAAAGAGTAAATATGGTATGTTGTTTTAAAATGTTGATTACAACACCAAAAAAATCCTCTCTAATTGTGGTAACAGAGGTTTTGATGCAGGACGTTCTCTCGAATATGTTGGATGGTTCAGGAATTTATTTTCTCTATACAAAGACTTAGTATTGTTATTATAAAGAGACTTTATGAACACCCTGTATATCTAACAAATATTAAGAGTTATAAAATCAAAAATGGTCGGGTTCTTCATACTCACTTGATCATTCCCTCTCGGACCTTCTTGAATGTCTCTAGTGGAAGATTTCTGAATATATTTGCATGATTTTTCTCAAGAATCTCGAAGGCTTTGGAGCAATGGTGGTTTTCCAGTGGTGAAATATCATTGTATCTCATCGCTAATTCTGTTCTTGCGTTGATCTGAAGGAGAGAAGATTACAATAATTCTTTTTTTACAGTAATTCTTAATTGAAAAATATGTATCATGTCAGACTTGAAATATGTAAATTTTATATAGAGATGTCCACCTTCCATCCAAAGAACCTCAAACCTTTCTAAAATAAACAGTGGAACCATTAATGATAAGAATTCAGAATTAGTATTAAAACCAGGGCATAAACATGCAAAATGTCACCACCTGTCATTTGTTACAGATGCCACATGTCGAACACCACCATGCACTGGACACCAACAGTGGACCGCCGCCACAAGTTGGAGACTATATCAAAATGTTAATGGTGACATTAAAACCATTGCCAGGGTAGGAGGTCTGAATGTTGTTGGTCCAAATCACAAGAAGCATTACAGTCATGATTCCTCTGCAATGGGGTTATAGCAAAAAAAGATGGAAACCTTGTGCACTGTTCTTCTATTATACAGATTACACAAACAACAATTATTCTCCTTTACCTAGAACTATGCTATAATCAACCTGGAAAAGTCTCACGCTGTGTCTACAGACTCATATTTCAATATAACAGGCATCAATATTTAAAGCAGATTTGACATAAGCTCATGTCATTATTGACAATATTGTGCAACTGTAATAAGTCAATCAAGGCCAATACATTCTAATGAAGTTCAACATCAGTTTTATGTGTATGGTATGTTATAGTCATCTAAATTCTATCATATCAATGTTTTTGGTGTCAATACAAAAATGTTATGCCCAGGAATGTCTGTATTTCATGAGGGCCAGCCTGCTGTCATGGGAATCTACTACAAAGACAAATCACAGTATGTATCAACACAACTCCAATTGCACTGGTGATCCACTCGATTACGCTGCTTACCGAAACGGTTCGTTTTGGTAACAAAATGTCGGAACGTCGAAGGTACGATTTTTCACAACGGTTTTTCGAAAAACAGTTAAGATCTGTCCTTTTAACCCAAATCTTTTATGTAACTTAAGTGAGGAATTAAATCGATGATTCTGTTGTCTTCTGAGCTATTTTTTCGCAAACATGAACTTTTTCTAAAACATATGATACTGATACACGTTTGTGTGAAAAAACGTCATGGGGATTCTGCCTACAACGCGTGAAATAAGGAAAACAGAAAAATCGTACCTCCGACGTTCCGACCGTTTTGGTAACCAGCGTAATCGAGTGGATCACCAGTGAATTGTCTCTCTCAGGAGATTCCTTCTTATGATCAGCATCATCCAGCATTTAAAACTTACATTTACCCATTGCAATCAGCAAACAATCTTTGGTTTGGCTTGGTAAAAGAATTGGGAAACTAGTTGCCAAAGGGACAGTGGGGCTGAATGGGGCACTGAGGTTGAGTGGGCAAAGCAGCTGAGTGACCAATGGGGTTGACTAAGCAATGGGGCTGAGTTGCCAATGGGGTTGACTAGGCAATGGGGCTGATTGCCAAACTAGAAAATTGTGAATATCCTATTAATGAACCTTATAAAACACTGACCTGATAAATGAAAAATACCAAGAGGTAAATATATTGAAATAATATGCACTCAACTACATTTGCACATTAAGTATAATCCATACGCAAAAATATATGACCTCAGCCAACAAAGCAAAAATGACTCAAATGAACAAAATCATACAAAAGTAAACTAACACTCAATGATCCTGAGGTCAATGAACCTCTTGGATTAATCAATAATGTAAAAGATCTAGATCTTACAACAATACGTGCAAGAATTGCAAATCCTGAAAAGCTAATGCAGGCAGACAATAATTGTCAGTAATTGTGAATGTCAACAGCCTTCCATTGAATTGTAACCAGATATTTGACACAGTTGTAGAAAACAACTTCAGGACACCTAGCTCCCCACAGTGGATATAACCTTCAAGAATTCTTAATCTATACACGAGGTTCATGTTTAAAAATAATAAGTCATTGACAGTGAGTGTCTGCGAAGAATGTAAAACAATGATCATGTTTCAATTAAATGCACACAAGATCAAACGAGTGAATATAGAAAGTAATAACATGATGGAGAGGACACCTAGATTTCCTCTATGACTCCATAACTCTCAGAATGACTTCTAATTAAGGTCCTGCTGAAGATGTGCACGTGATAAAATATGAGAAATATCTTAAAGGTACTATCTCTACTGAGGATGTGCTTGAGATAAATGCATGGCTTGAGAAACATCTTAATGGTACCATCTCTGGTGAAGATTTGCATATGATAAATGCATGGCTTGAGAAACATCTTAAAAGTACCATCTCTGGCGAAGATGTGCATATGATAAATGCATGGCTTGAGAAACATCTTAAAAGTACCATCTCTGGCGAAGATGTGCATATGATAAATGCATGGCTTGAGAAACATCTTAAAAGTACCATCTCTGGCGAAGATGTGCATATGATAAATGCATGGCTTGAGAAACATCTTAAAAGTACCATCTCTGGCGAAGATGTGCATGTGATAAATGCATGGCTTGAGAAACATCTTAATCACTTTGAAACAATTAAAAATTAAACTTTTGATAAATTGGCATACTGAACTAATATGTTAGGGTTCCCAATGAGACACAATTGCAAATAATTTGTTGAAAATATTGGTGAACACGTACCCATTTCTCAGAAAAGTGACATCATATACAAAAGGGTAATTCTTCGTGTAAAAAACATTCCTGTATCTTGAATATTAACATGCAATATTTGAATCATGATAAAAACTTGTTGCTTGTATAATGTTCACATTGTGCTTTTACTTTTCAATACCAAGAAATTGGATGATACAGTTATACCAAATATTCCTGTTTTGAACTAAGGCCGTAAGAATTAGATTCTTTGTTTTGCGTCCCCTTGCTTGCATGATTTTGAGTAAATCAGAAAAAACAAACACATCCAAATAGCAACCACAAGGGTCTGAAAGTGACATTGCATTTCGTTCAATCAGAATCAGACGAAATGGCGGATAAATTGATGTGCGTCAAAATTGACAGTGTTATTGATTACTTGGGTAAACATTGTGTATTTTTTTTATTGTTTTCCCTTGATAATACCTATATTTAAAGATGTCATTTTAAAAGCAAAAAAGGCTCCAAAACGTAATAAAATATGTAGTTTGGATGTTCATTTATGTCTGTGGATTATATTTTATACCACAAACACTTATAAATACCTGAAATTTGCAATAAAAGTGCCCAAAAATTGTTGTTTCGAAATTCCCCATTTTTCCTGTATCGCGCTAGTCACGTGACCCTTACGCGTAGCAGGCAATGCCTAGTATTACAGATATTACAGCTCAGTACATATTTCAACATGTTCAATATGGCAAACATCAGCGATTCTGACTCCCGGGTTCTGGGAAATGGCTATATATAAATCGGCGAGAGGATGTTATTTAAGGAGGACAATTTAAGGAGGGGAAATATGTCCAAGTATGCCAGTAAAAGAGCAGATATGGACTTTAGACAAGTACTATGACGGAGAATCAACTAAAAAAATGTGCGTTCTGGAATGAAGACCCGTTGCCATTGACTGAGAATCCCAGCGATCCTATAATCCTACTCAGTTTGAATTTAGACGCGGAAAACAGGTTATGAAAACGGGCTCTCTGCAAAGTTATCAAATTTAGAAAATATGGATCTTGTTTTTGAGTGGCTTAACAAGCATTCGGATACAAGACTTGGCGCTATCTCTTGTCAAATACACGCAGACTTGCAGTAAATTGGCCATTGCAAATTGCAAAATCAGATCGTCAAATAAATCGCTTCGTTTTTAAACGTATGCTTCATATCTTCATCCAAAACTTTAGGATTCGATAGAGATAAGTTAAAACTTGTACAGGAAGAAATGGGAGATCCTACCTTAATTTAGAATCGCTGATTTCTCTGGACAAATTCCGAGAAGAAATTGTTCAACATCGCGATCAGCTCAGACTAAACTTACATGTCGTGCATGTCACTCTGAACTCACGTGATAAAATACGGCATTTTGATTGGTTACTACTCGTGTTGTCATGACGCGAAAAACAATAGTAAACACTGAATATGTTAGTGAACTGTCATATATGGAGCAATTGTCTTTCTGATTGGTTAACTTTACACGCCTCCTAAATGAATATAGTAGTCGTAGTAAATGATTCATTGATAACTCTGAATGTGGGCGTGACCAGCTTTATTTTGACACCAAATTCAAGATGTTTCAAATAAAAATGGCCTCGCAAGACGAGGTTGAAATATCGGCAGTTTGATACTGATATGGTCTACGATAGATCAAAATTGACTGCCCCGCGTCATATGTCACGTGAGCCTATATTTGTTGAAAAATGAAAGAGATAGTGACACTTTTTAATCTTAAGTTAATACCAATATTACAAACACATATCTATTTTTTTCATTAAATATTTATTTCTTCATTATACATACATTTGTTTTACACTGCATTGATTTATTTTTGCAAAACCTTTGCTATTAGATCTTTAAATATATTGTATAAAATGTATAGATCTGTGTTTGTATCACTGCAAATTGGTATGTCATCCCTTTTAATGCCCATAAAATGTATACATTTCTCAGCAAACAAGTTTGTGTTTTTTCTTGAGTTTGTGTTTGTTTTCCTTGTAACCTTGCATGATTTGGATTTTGCCAGGACGCAAAACAGAGAATCTAATTCTTATGGCCTAACCATCATTACCCAAGATAAATTGCTAAGCTTTATCAATCATCATCATACTGAAACCCAAGAAAGTCATTGACCCAAATATAATTGATATAATTTAAGGTAGATTTATTAATATCAAAAAACAAAGACATTATGTTACTGAAGGGCATTCAATGTTTGCTATTATTACACACAAACTGACCTTCAAACCATCTTATTAAAGCTATCTATCTGAGTAAGCCTATCATCAAAGGGAGGAAAACTAGTAAAGCCAATCAGCTATATAAATCAAAGGGCCATCTCTTTATTGTATCTTGCATTTTGGATCAAAATATCAATCATTTTTTATAATTCTGCAGAAATCAGATGAAACTTTGATCAACTGTGAATCTTTAGTACATGAGAGACCAGGCCCTGGAAATATTTGTCTAGGAAAGTATGACAAGGCCTGTGAACTCAATTAACACCCTTTTACTTTTTTATGGCTAGATATGCCCGTCTATTTGATACTGTCTAAATTACAAGTTAATTCTTATTCAAAGCAGACCTCTGTAAAACAAAAGAACTATTATAGCAATGACAATAACAATAGCACTGAACTGAGGAAGAGAATTACATTAACCGATTATTTAGGTTTAAATTAATGTTTATGAACCTTACCATTTGCAATGCGGATCTGAGATCTTAGTCGAGATACTTATCAAGTGTATAATTAGAAAGTGGATCAAACTGATTGCCTTTTGTAAAGAAATGTCAAAGACAGCTACAGTTATGTCAATAAATTGCAGATCTAGTTCCTACTTTTCAAAGTGCAGTTAACCCTATTTGAAGGTGGTACAATATCACATTTAATCTATTATTAACCTGATATGTAATATCCCCAAATGCCAATACCAAATATCACATTTTAACCCATTAGAAACCTAATATGCATTGTTGTATCCCCAAATATCAATACTAAATATCACTACTAAATATATACCAAATATCACGTTTTAATCCATTATAAACCTAATATGCATTGTTATATCCCCATATATCAATACAAATATCACATTTTTAATCTATTACTAACCGGATATACATTTTAATATTCCCAAATATCAATACTAAATATCACATTTAACCCATTAGAAACCTAATGTGCATTGTAATATCCCCAAATATCAATACCAAATATCACATTTTAATCCATTACTAACCTAGTATGCATTGTTATATCCCCAAATATCAATAACAAATACCACATTTTAATCCATTAGAACCCTAATATACATTGTTGTTTCCCCAAATATCAATACCTAATATCATATTTTAATCCATTATTAACCTAATATGCATTGTAATATCCCCAAATATCAATACTAAATATCACATATTAATCCATTAATAACCTGGTATGCATTGTTATATCCCCAAATATCAATACTAAATATCACATATCAATCCATTACTAACCTGATATGCATTGTTATATCCCCAAATATCAATACTAAATATCACATATTAATCCATTACTAACCTGGTATGCATTGTTATATCCCCAAATATCAATACTAAATATCACATATTAATCTATTACTAACCTAATATGCATTGTTGTATCCCCAAATATCAATAACAAATACCACATTTTAATCCATTACTAACCTAATATGCATTGTAATATCCCCAAATATCAATACTAAATATCACATATTAATCCATTACTAACCTGGAATGCATTGTTATATCCCCAAATATCAATACTAAATATCACATATTAATCCATTACTAACCTGGTATGCATTGTTATATCCCCAAATATCAATACTAAATATCACATATTAATCCATTACTAACCTGGTATGCATTGTTATATCCCCAAATATCAATACTAAATACCACATTTTAATCCATTACTAACCTGATATGCATTGTTATATCCCCAAATATCAATACCAAATATAACATTTTAATCCATTACTAACCTGATATGCATTGTTGTATCCAGGATGGTCCAAGTCATGGCAGATGGCGGAAGTTATGAGAATTAAGACATCTATATCATCTAAAATTGTTGGCAAATCAAGCAACCATGTCAATCCATACATCTGCAACATATAAATACATGTAAATAAGAAATAAAGCTTGCTGATACTCATCACATCTTTCTGATTTCAAACTAGCAATGGAAATATGGTAAACTGATAAAGGGCTTGGATCTCTCATATCGGAGATGCGTATCTCATATGTTTCATTAAAGTATAACAATACTTTTCATAATTTGATCTATTCATTTATTATATTTAGATGACATTCCTAGTTTGGAGAGTAATGATTATTTTGAGGTATTAATACCGTAAAATTTTGCAAAATATTTTTCTTCGTAAACTCTCACTTCACAAAAATTATGTTTCTAAACGAAATTGACCTAGATGAGGACATCAAAAAATTTAATACGGCACTCTGATTGGTCAATCAGGACAAGACTGTGAAAGTCATGGCTACTTGCACATCAGTAAGAATTAGATTCCAATATCCTTCAGATTTTGAGATAAGTAGAATTAATATTGGATAACAGGGCTTTAGATAAGAATTAACAAAATCCAGGGCTTCAATGATAGCCATAAAGGATGTCTCAATACAGTCTCTGAGCTACGTCACAACCTTGGAGTGGGACTCTGAATGATTTAAATCTAACACCAATGTGTCAAGACTGGCCTGCATTCAAATGTTTGAAAAAATACAAAATAATATATTGATTGTAAATTGTTCCTTGGCATAATTAGTGAAATATTTGTATGTCAGCTAGATGTTAACATAAATATAACATGAAATACATAGCTGTAAAGTGGAACAATACATGTCAATTGGTTGAATCCGTTCTAAGGACACTTACGTGAATAAGACAACTTGAGTATACTTTACATCGATAACCTGTTGACATTCTGCGATGCTCAAGTCAAGCCATGCTGATCCTTACACAATTACTCTATCAAGTATTCAGGGAGGGACCTCCAGAAAAAAATTAGCACTCAACCTTTTCACAATTATTCATACATCAATCACCAAAAGTTGAAGGGGCACTTTGGTGTGATTTTGGAAAGTCTTTTACAACATGAAGTGACAATTGATGTGCCATACTGAGCTTTTACTCTTATGTCAAGCAAACTTAAGCATATATTGGGGTAAATTTATGTGACCCAATCTTGCCAATCTTGAAGCACACTTGACATGATTATATGCCAATCTTTTGTCAGTCTCTTGTGACCCCATGTGCAATTATCTCACTAACTCCACTGACCACATATGACTGTATAGATCTTGCTCGCGGGCGAAATCATGTACAAAAATGCAGCCCAAATGAGGGAAGGAAGAGTCGGACTCTAGACAAGACTAAATCACTCCACTTTCTTTCTGATTTTTATAAAATTGGTTACCATGACATTCCCTGTCAAGCAAAGTATAAAAATGTGGATGGAATTGAGAGATTAAGATGGATATCTTAAATGATGTAACAAAAATTAATTCAGGGACGTGCATCTAACTAACTTTCCACCAAATAAGTACAACCTAAATCCCCAATATATTCTAAGATAAGATGTCTCGTGCCTTTCTCCATGAGCCTGATTCAGTATTTCAAGATGTCACATAAGCTTTAGTTCTCTATGAGCCAGATTCAATACTTTTATTTGTAGTAGTCTTGCATTAAGCTCTTGTACCCAGATTCTCCCAAACATTCTCTGTAACGCATGTAAGGAAGAGAATGGGGGAATGGCCAGGAATGGCTCTACATGGGCTTGATTTAAGACCACTGCTTGAAATGTTCTTTTTTTAATTATATACTTATAATGTAAAATGTTAAATTTCTACCCTTAGAAATGAAACATATTCTATTTTGAATAGCAATTTCTCAATGAAGCGAACAATTTAACATAGGTTTGCATAATTTTGTGTGGGATAAGCAAGATAAGATGTCCTGTAATACTGTACATGCACAAGGCAGTGACATATAAAATAAGTAACCATAGATGTTTCTTAGAGATGCTATAAAAGGTTTTAACATTGCATCACAATGTGCGTCATTGAACCGTTTCACTGTTAGTATCAATTACAAATTATAATATAAAAGGCAATCTTTTTAGGTAAGCTAAGATTCAAAAAACATTGATCTTCATTCACTCCCTCAGTATGATTTAGACTTTTGTGAGAACGACAAGATGTTGGAGGTTGGTAAACGTCCTAAATATATTTATTATTTTAGTATGCCTTTCCTCTTGTGCCATATGAATTCAAAGTGCTTTTAAAATAAATCAGCTGCTTTTCAAAAATTCAATTCAATTCACATATAAAATATTATTAACATTAACATACATTCATATCCTATCTGTGAAATAAGTATTAATTAAGGAGGGGAGAAAAGTGGTATTCCATAGGACAAAACCCATATCAGTGACCTCAGCATAAAGGGTCACAATCATCGATATCTCACACAAAACAATGAAGATTTATATTGACGAATGACTATAAAATTATTGTTGATTTGCTTGGTAATTATCTTGATCAATCTCGATTTGAAAAATGTTTCTCCATAAGTACAAAGACTAACAAATTAGGTGGAAATTCTACAGCCATAAAGTACCATAAAACATGAGTGAATCAGGCTATAATTTTCCGAGACTCTATGTATAAAGTGACACAGTACGTCATGCCTGTCTAACGGATAATTGCACCATGAATGCCAAGCTTAGCTTAACTCTTGCTTAAGCCATGGGAGAATATAGCTAATCCTAAAAGGGATGTTCACTTTTATTGATATATGACAATTAGGGTAAAACTATATTTAGACTCACAAGTCTGACGTCATAAGGGTTTAAAGGTATAGACTATACAGATACTATTTTCAACTTTACCGGATGTATTTTCGCATCAATCATTATGGATGGGTCATCTCTAAATCTAAATGGGTTAAAACTTAATCTAAATAGATGTGTCAAGATTCAGGAAATACTGATTTCCCTATGGTCTTTGTAACTTTATATCCAGAGGCATTAACAGTTAGGTTATTTTTAAAATCTGAACCATAGACTTTTAAGACTTTAGAGAAGACAAATTATGACCCGAGACATTGTCTGAGGATTTAGCCAACCCTAAGACAATAACTAAAGGTTGAGATGACAAGACATTTACTGAGGGTTAGGGAAAGGAGAGTGGCCACGAAGCAGTGTTTGGAGTTGTGAAATGGTACTATCTTATACTCACCATTTGTGTGACCATGAAGCAGTGTTTGGAGTTGTGAAATGGTACTATCTTATACTCACCATTTGTGTGACCATGAAGCAGTGTTTGAAGTTGTGAAATGGTACTATCTTATACTCACCATTTGTGTGACCATGAAGCAGTGTTTGAAGTTGTGAAATGGTACTTGGTTGTAACCTCTGTAAATTTCAAACAGCCATTGTTCTAACACTGAGATCTGAAATAATAAGAATCAATACCATATTCTAATAACTTTTAATTGATTAATATAACATACTAGCAAACATTAAATCTAGGCCTGTGAAATTTAGCTTTAACATGACAAAATGTCACCACCTAGTTGCTCACAATATTGTTACAGACAATGATCGCCAACTGCCAATCGCCAACCGCCATCACAAAAGATGGAGACCATAACAATATGTCACCACTTTTTTACAAATACATTTGTATTATATAAAATTGCACATAGTATAACAACGATTGTAATTAAGTTGATACACTAAAAAGTATGAATCAATTGATTATACCAATCAATGTCAGACACATGGACAAACATTATATCACATTTGCACTGATTGTTAATATTGACAGTCAACTTGATCAATAAATTTACATTTATTTTGGCATGATCGGTCAATAGAGACTTAAACATTGATATCAAACTGTGGGTTAAACTTGCAGGGAATCTATAGTATGTATATCTATAGTACTATTATATATATTACATGTATGTATATCTAGCTAATGTTCAGGAAGCAATGTGTGTTGTATGTTGACATTCGGATGTTTCTTCCAATATCTCTGTTAAGTGATGTACTTTTAGAATAGCCAGGAAAGTTGTCCAAATCAATTGTTCTTTGGGGCCTTTTACCTAAACATATAGCATCCATGTATCCTGATATTCTTTGAAAAACCTCAGTCTGTAATCATTCCATATAACGTCACCCATTGGTGTCATTCTCATGTGTCATTCCCAACTTTATATTAAGATTTAACCACAAAATTACTTTGAATTGTAATACAAGAAAAAAATTGGTGATAAGGATGGCGCTTGACGCAGCTGTCTGGAGGCAACAAAGTACATGGTTATCTATTACCCAATAATAAGACTGATTATTGAGCCTTGTGTCTTTCGTTGCTTTTATAAAGAACCTGATTAAGCACCGTAGGAGCACAATGGTGATATCATAATACGGGGATTATATCTTATGACTCTACTGTTAGCAGTACTTGGCCTGGAGAATTGATTAACTTGAATCAAAAGGCTAGATCTGAATCTAGATGAAGGTCAAACTAAAATTGGTTAAAGTCAAACAGAAATTAGTTAAAGTGCCTGGGAAAATAGACTGCAAAACAAATTATAAAAGATAAAAAGCAATTTCCTAGTATAGTAGTCATTTAAGTTTAACCCTTCAATTGATTTCCCTCTATGTTTTTAACTAAGTGTTTACTAGTTCATGACATGCCATCCAACAATCAGTGATCATTCTAATCCTTAAACAATATCAAACAAAAATAAATTTGCTTCGATTACAGTTATATGTTCTTATCACACAATTTCAAGTGCTACGCCACAAGTTTCTCACATTCTGTTTTCAGTGTGGCAGTGGAATCTTTGTAAATGAGCGTAGTTGGTCCTCAGGCTCCGGAAACAAAAATTGAAGGTATAAAGGTATAATGCATCATTATTGTAGAAATTTTGTTAGATTAACGTGGTTTGAAAAATAAAAGTTAATAAAAGTTATAATGTAAGAAAAAACAAAACAAAAATGTTTTTTTTAGAAATAGAATAGTTTAAACTGGAATATTGACAAAATAGACTTTGTTACCCCAGTCAAAAGAAAACAAGTCCCATGCATTAAAGAACATCCAAACTGGATCACTTTCCCAAATCGCAATACGTAGGAACCCATCACCCACTACATGTAGGGTGATCTATTAATTGAAAGATTTGTCTAACCTATACTCTAAGACTGTTTCAAATTGTATCCTCTAAAAGTTGAGCCTTGTCACAATTCCTTTAAAATGCTAATAATGAATGCAATTTTTCTAGTTATATATATTATACAATATGTGTCAAATTTTGCAAAATTAGTTTGGACAAAAAACATCATCATCAGTTGAACTCGGAGCCTGGAGACCGGCTACACAATGGTTCCACTTCGACCTGGTATGTTTTGCAACTAGCAAATATTTTTCTATAAATGAACTGAAACGAGGCCATAATGTCTCACAAAGAGTGAATTCGTGTGAATTAAGCCAGAATAGAGGAAATTGTTCCCAAGATAATAATTGTAATATTGACCGCAAAAAAGTTCCAAGTTCGTCCCAGTATGCATTAAAATTTAAGAGAAAAGAAAATCGTATTACTAATTGACCTGTGTGTATACCTTTGAACAGTATGACAAATAATGATGATTTTCTTAGCCTCTTAAAGGAGTATGTATTATTAAAAACATTGAAATAAATGCGAGGACTGCATTCTGATACTCATAGCATCTCTCTCTGTTGTATCTTCTCCATAAGATGTGGATTACTCGAAAAGAAATTTAATGTGAAATAACCTAGTGAACAGCTCTAAAATCTGAATAACCCTTAAGTATATATAAGGTGAATGGATCCCAAATGAGAGTCAATACCATATACATGTACAGTATATATGACATTTTCAATAAGAGGATTATGAAAGACATAAACCTACAATTGGAAGTTTTCTATTACTATACAGTCAAAACAATCATATTGTATAAAAGAAAATTTAGATTTTCTTCACATTCAAATAATCTTCAATTCAAAATAAGATTTGGCTTGTCTCACATCTCTGCAAAATTTAATCAGTAAAGGCTGCATTTGATCCAAGTTTAAAGGTTCCTTTGTAATCAACCATTGAGCATTGTTTCCCATTGGAATTATTTGGACATCTCTAATTCATATGAGCTTTTTTCTCTATTCCCTCGATTCAATGAATATTTACTTGCTGTAGCAACAAAATCTAACACTTAGAATCTCTGATGTTGTAATGAGAAAGGAATCTTAATTAGAAAAGTGAATACAAGACATTAACATGTCACAACATGCCATTTTTACAGATGTCACATCATTTGTTAGACCCCAACCACCGAACACCAACTGCCGTCCACAAAAAGAGACTATAACAATATGTCACCACTTGTGATGGTGACATAATATCTTAGATCTTCAACTAATAAGATTCAACAGCAATCTTTGAGGAATGTTGATGCATATTTAAGCACAAACAAAGAGAACAAGCATTTGAAAGTCTCATAAGGCATTTTTTTAATGATTATTCATTCCTTTATTCCTTTGTATTCCTTTGAAGTTGAGAGGCATTATACAACTTCTTTATAAACCTACTTACCTCAATATTAAACTTGGCAATAAAGCCCAGATCTATATACATTTGTCGGAGAAGTATCAACATTTCGCTATCGTCCCACTGCCAGTTGTCAAATGTAGGCTTCCTGAGATATTGTCGCACTTCGTCAGTTACTTGGACATGTCTGAAACACACAATTTACACAACAAAAATTAATTTAGCATACAATACCAATCCAGATGTTATTGGGCTTGATTTTTAGAACCTTTTGTTGGCTCTATATGAAGTGAATATCAGGACAGAATATGCAAAATGTGAACACAGCCTATCAATTCTTTCTAGAATATTTCAAGTTGAAAAACAGCAAAATGCGATGAATATCAAAATTGTAAATTTAGATAGATTAATCGATGGAAGTGGTGATCAACATCACAAAATACGGACTCACACTCAACATTTAATGAGAAGGATTAATTTTGAGATATCACAAAATGCAGACTCATTCAACATTTCATGAGTAAGTATCAATTTTGAAATTGTTATATCTGCTGAATGATATTTCATCAAATGCAGAACTTATCCTGCTATATGTGTTTATGAGGTTAGGGTGACCATCTCTAGTTGAATAATGGGGGTAATTAATGATGTGGTACTTGTATAACCATAAAGTATTATGCTCATATCAATAACAATGAAAAGGAGGAGTTCATCACTGTTCTCGGCTATACTGTTCAGTATAATGAAAAGCCCCTAGAAAACAAAGAGAGTGCTAATTTGAAGTATTGCACTTTGTAGGTGTCTTGCATTACACTGGTGTTATAGGATTTCTTTCATATATAATAATAAATATATTGAGTTTTTATTGCAGGTCTTACACCATTAACAGTAATGTAGAATATTATGAGAAAAAAGCTCAGCGAACGTATCTCTAAATGCTATATAGGGCTCTTATTTTAAAATGGTTGGTTAGAAATAAAATGTTATTCAGCCATCAGAGATTTATAAGAGCCATTATATTCTGAATTAAAGAATAAAAGTCTTCCATGATATATTAAATACTTTGACTAAATATGCACTTAAGATGTCTATTTGCATTAAATTAAGACAAATAGTCAATGATTGCACATTAATGGGATTTGCACTATACCCTAGAGATGTATGAAATCATTGTTTATAGACAAAAAATGTTGATAGATAAGTTTGTACATCGTACTGTGTAATAGCATTGACGGAATAAAATATGATGCCGTTCTTAGTATAGTGATAGGTACTTCGCTCTGTTTTATTCTGATTACCTAGCTTTTTAGATAGATCCATAGAGAATATGTTTCACCTATTAATAAATAAAATAGAAATTTTTAACAAATGAGAACAGGTTGTCTGACAAGCATCAAATCAGTAAATTACTTATTTGATTCATGACAAGAATGATATGTAACAACTACAAAAACATATGTAAGTGATCAGGATAATTGCCGTTGCATGTAAAACATGGATGGAACAAACCATCGATACACGATTCATACACGATTTACACGGTTCATTTTAGGAAGTCAAACCAGATTGTTATGATTGGTTTTTTGAAATCAATATGTTGGCCCAATTTCCATACTACACAAACATGCAATCATCCACGAAGATCTGAATTTAATTACCATTTCAAACATCACAATAGAAAAAAAATCAGTGGGAGGATTCAATGTATAATGATGAAGCTTTTTAGGCTTCCAACCCACTCTTACATCTAGGCACGGAAAAAAACAGCTCAATTTGTAATAAGGAGAAACTGACTTATTAACCATCATCCAATAGTGTAATAATATATTTTGCCATATTTTAGCACAGTTGGGTGAACTCAACATCTTGTATTGTCATAAAGCTGTCAATCATTGCTCTGGGGACTTTAGCAATCCCAAGGAAGTCAGCAGTCTCATGATATAATGGTAAGGCTATGGAAAGTTTAATTATGATTTGAAATGATTTAGGCAAAGGAGTGGTATTGATATGGAGAACTTTTTGGACACACGTTTCTCTTAGACCAGTCATAAAAAAATCTAAAAAATTTAACACATCGTCAATTTAATAGTCATCTTTTGAATGGTAACAATATAATTTGAAAAATATATATATACTTTCATCTATATAGTTTTAGAAAACACATCAAACACTTGTTTTGTTCTTGGTATCATGCTTCCAGAGTGAAATAAAACATCTTTCCGAACCTCATTGGAACAAAACGACATAAACACAATATGTTTAGGTCTCTAAATATTGTAATTGTACAAAGGAAATTTTGGTCGATTTTAAAAAAGTATCTTGTTAATGAAATAAAAGGCTTATCTTGATTTTTATCTTTTTTGGGGAGATTTTGTTTTAATATTTTGAATACTTTTTTAAAATCAACCAAAAATTCCTTTGTATAACTATAATATTGAGAGGTCTAAAGACATGTTGTATATGCTGTTTTGTTCCAACAAGGTTCAGAAAGACATTTTATTTCATTCTCAAGAATTTGGAGAAAGGAGCAAAAACAATTGCACCAAAAAAACAAAAAATGTTAACAAAAACAGTTATATAAAATATTTCTAAATAATTTTCGCATTAAATTGTTGTCAATCAGTCAACATTACATAAAATACCGTGTTTTTTACAGAATGTTTTCAATGATTGGTTTAAGAGAAAAACATTGTTGAATTCAGTTCTCCATATCGATACCAATCCTTTTCAGAAAACAAACGAAAATGTTAAGTGCCCATTATATTATACTTGTAATCGATTCAAATGACAATATAAACTTTAGAATTGTGATTTTAGATCATGTTATTTCAATCTGAGTTCTTAGATTGAAAACTACATAGCATCAGTATTGTCTTCATTAAAATGTTTAATACTCAATGGTGTGTCACTTAATCAATCACTCTTGTTTTTAAGTGTTATAAATTTTTTGTTTTTTAAATTTGTTTGGTTTTCATGCATCTCCCACCCTCCTAAGATTTGTCCCTTCATAGGGACATTAAACATACAATTACCTTGAATGGCCTAAGGGATGAAATACAGAGGGATCATGCAGACCCAAGTGAGATCATATTCTTAATGATGTACAAAGCATTGAACTGAGTTAATTGAAAGGTGAAACAGATCAATCAGTGAAGTTTCTTTAGATATAAATGAACCTCTAACAAAGATGCATTTTTATCTGCTGTATAATATAATTAATAATAATTAAAAACATGGCATTAACATGACAAAATGTCACTGGTAAATGGATGTTCAAAGTAAAAATTTAAAGTCAGACTAAACCATCCTCCGATCACAGGGCTTCAAAATCCAGAATATATTCCCTCTTTTTACCCCCTGCGATAAGCAGTTAGCATTTCCCCGATTAAGAACTCGCAATCTGATTGGCTACAGTAATCTTGTATAAGTCATTGCGCATAATAAGATCACGTGATTCAGTTTAATCGGGCGCTTCCAAATTGGTTATAGCAGGGGGGGAAGAAGGAGGTACGGATTCTGGACACCTGCTTAGGAGGATGGAAAACAGTAATGAAGTTATTGCAAGTTGTAAGAATGTGTTACAGTCACTGAACACTGACTGCTGAATGGTTACAAAATGATACAAGATCACTTAGTTGTTGACATGGTAACATTTATTGGGAGATATGTGTTGGAACTAATACAATGATTATATTTTACAGTTAAAGTTTAAAGTCAGTCTGAACAGTACTTACTTTAATTAAGTTATAGGATTTGTATGAATTTGTTACGGATGCCGACTGCCATGCCGAACACCATCCACAAAAGTGAAAAAAACAACAACATGGCATCACTTCTGGTGGTAACAAAAATCAAATTTATACAAAAGAAAACCTATAAACATACATAATTCATGAATTGTAGAAAATAACCATGCTTGATAAAATGTATAAACCATTTCTAAGCAATCAATTCCAAAATAGATACAAGAAACTCATCTATTAGAAATGCAATGGGGCATTCTATAACTAAATCATGTAAGGATACATTAAATGGAGTTCCTCATTGATCATAGTAATCTCTACTATAAACCTACAGGATTAACTGGCCATTCCTTTATATAATGTCCACAGTCCATCATTAGCCATAATTCCATTTTACCAAAAATATTTTTCGCAAGGAGGGATACAATGACATTTAAGATTTAGAATAAAAAATATTATATTTATATTTCATCCCCAGCCACTCATAAAAATCATAATCCAATTAATATTTCATTATAAAACGGAAGCTATTTTTCAAATTCATAATTCCCCTGGCGAGCTTGATGCCATTGCGACACTTTGGGATTGATGACACTGTGGGAACGGATTCAATTTGAAAACTATATTCATTCTTGGTAGCTCTATCAGTACAAAAACTGGTCTTCCTAGAGGCCCAGTAATAATTTACAATTATTTACAATATGTACAATTATACAACATATAAGACAATTAATATATATGCATCTTCAAAAGTATGAACTTACACGAATATAGAGGACAACTTATTAAGAGAATTTCCATGAATATAAAGAACAACTTATTTAAGAATGCATTTACATGAATTTTCACTTTAAGAACACAATCAATGTAATGAGATGGAAAAGCCAAAGTGGGTTCTCAGGAGAGAGATTGAATAAGGTATCTACATGTATTCTAAGAAAACATTGAGTCATTTCCTGATGGAACAAGATAAAAACGTTTTGTCCCAATATAAATATATTTACCAGAAATACATAATGTAACATATGGTCTGTCTGGAATAATGCCTTCATATTAGAAATACATCTGACTGGTTCTTGACATCATGATAAACCATGACATCTCATTTCTTCTCAGCCCTGAGATGTTACGGGTGAAACAGAAAGATGCTATGAGTATCAGAATGGGTTCTTGACATTAGACAAGAAAGAGAATATGATGCTATTCTGTCAGGACTAATTTTATCATGGTAGGAAACTTGATGAAAACATTGTAACATGTTTATCCTTATACTTCATTTCCTTATAACAAGAATTAAATGCTGGGACAAGGATAAACTTGCAAAATGTCACAACCTTCCATTTGTTAGAGACACCAACCGCCAAAGACCAAATACCAACCACCAAATACCAAACACAATCCACATTATTGTGGTGGTGATATAAAATGCTGAAGATCTTTTGCAGAGTTAACTTAAACAAAACACTTTGTGATATTGTAAACAAATTGTTACCTTACAATTGGTACGTGCAATTAGATTATACAAACTTTAGTATAATTGCCAAATGCAGACTGATACGTTAACAAACACAATTTTGAAACAGTAAATCCATTTTGAAGTAAAATGCGAAAACATAAAAAATTGTACGTCTAGGTATTTTGTTTATTAATTTAAACTTTCATATTTTTTCACGTAAATGAAGTATTCTACTCTGAGGAAGGGGCCAAATTCTAAATATACAAATTGAAATAAATTTCTTCAGAAATCGTGCTGAAGAAATAAGAGATAAGTAAACAATGCAAAAATACAGGAACAGCTCATAAATATACAGTACTTAAGACCCAAACCCTCATGGGAAATGTAATAATAACTATAACTTAATCATACATATTGTCTTGTCAAAATTGGTGTAAATTCTGCTGATAATGTATGGCTTTAGCAAACATCCAATTTTCTTAAATGAATTATTATCGAATGAATATTTAATAACTAAGATAGAAGTCAAAGTATGATATAACTAACTGGTTGAGAGCTTCTTGCTTCAGGAGACAATAGCTTTAGATGATATATGTGAAACAAGGCAGCAAACTATCTGTGTGTTTATTGAAATGTTGCATGTTGTATCATCATAACATCTCAAAGATTGCACCATTCAGTCGGCTCGCATGGTGATTCCTTATTCCCATTCTGTCATTCACAAGTTACCAACAATTTGGTATACTTTTCTTTTGACTGTAAACATCAATTGCAGGGTATATTGTTTGATTTTGATTTTGAAATACTATAAATTACACAGCCTTGTTTTGTTTATATTTTGATGACAAAAAGCTGATTTCTCAAAATTAAAGCAGAAATTGAAGCTAGGACCATTAGTACTCTAGTGTAAATTAACAGTATTAAATCAGACCCTCTTAAAGTAGATATGAGCATCAGATGAATGGCAGTTTTAGTTTTAAAAAATATTAACGGATGCAAGACAGGACAGGTAAACAGAAAGACAGACGGATGGGCAGATGGATGAGTGGGTGATACAATAGTCTCACCATAGGGAAAAGACTTAATAAATTACAATTGGTTATCCTACTTACATATGGAAATCAGACTAGAGAGTTATCTTGTAACATTCAGAATAAATTTATAAGATATTCCCAAATGATTTTGGTGTACATAACAATGTCATTGCCCATGAACAGAATGTCCTTATTAGACAAACAAAGGAATGGTATCGATATGGAGAACTGAATTCAACGATGTTATTCTCTTAAACCAATCATTGAAAACATTCAGTAAAAAACATGGTATTTCATGTAATGTTGACTGATTGACAACAATTTAATGCGAACCAATTTAGAAATATTTTATATAACTGTTTTTGTTAACATTTTTTGTTTTTTTAGTGCAATTGTTTTTGCTCCTTTCTAACAATTCTTGAGAATGAAATAAAATGTCTTTCCGAACCTTGTTGGAACAAAATAGTATATACAACATGTTTTTAGACCTCTCAATATTATAGTTATACAAAGGAATTTTTGGTTCATTTGAAAAAAGTATTCAAAAATTAAAACAAAATCCCCCCAAGATAGATAAAAATCAAGATAAACCTTTTATACCATTAACAAGATACTTTTTTGAAATCAACCAAAATTTCCTTTGTACAATAATTATAATTATTACAATATTGAGAGACCTGAACATGTTGTGTTTATGTCATTTTGTTCTAATGAGGTTCATTTCAATCTGGATATGATGATACCAAGAACAAAACAAGTGTTTGATGTGTTTTCTAAAACAATATAGATGAAAGTATATATATATTCTTTTCAAATTATATTGTTACTATTCAAAAGATGACCATTAAATTGACGATGTATCAATTTTTTAGATTTTTTTTATGACTGGTTTAAGAGAAACGTGTGTTCAAAAAGTTCTCCATATCAATCCACTCCTTTAACGACTCTGTCATCTCTAAGGTTGGTCTGTCCTAACATTTCTTAACTTATGAACCTAATATAAAGTTGTGTCTTGTTAGGAGCACAATGACATTTTTTCATTTTATCTAGGCAATTTCTAAGCAAAAAGGTATGGTCACTTCGTCTTTTCAGACGGAAATCTAAATTCACATGAAGGAAGGGAGCAATTATCCAATACATCTTTCTCCAAAGTATGTTTCAAAATTTGTGGATATCCAAAGATATATATGTACGAGGAAGAGCTAAGTTGCAAGAGACAAATAAATTAGAAATTTTTTATCTCTGATGAGAAAAGTAAATGTACAAGGAAGATTTAAGGTACAACAGACAGACAAATAAATAAAAAAATGTTCAGATCTTGGTGACATAAATGGAACATTAGAGCAGAAAATAAACAAGTCAATATAATTGAATTATAGGTGAGAATTATTTTTCCCCAAAATACACAGTGACTTGAATATATGAAGTTTGTGACCTTAATATAATTACAAATACTGTATGATCTCAAAGTGGATATATTAACATAGCTATCCAAGGTAAAAATACCCTTTTAAACATTTAATGTAGAATAACAAAAAATAATGCACAATTTCCATTTATAAATTCTGGTTTAACATTGCATGGAATTAAGAAATATGTCATTAAAAATATGACACAGCTATCAACCAATCAAATTGCAAATCAAATGTGCAATAACATACATGTACTTTACTTTGGAAAAAGGCCTGTACCCACTGGACTCAAACACCAATTATACCAACATGAAAATCATGAAAAATTTGGTATTTTGACAGCCTTTAATCAAAGTTGTAAAAATTTGAATTTTGTACCACAAAAGGAGAATTCTGGATTTGAGGTAGTTTAATAAAATGCTGAAAAAACCTTCAGAACTAACACAGATCTAATTTCCATGTTACCCTTAAAGCATTATTACTTCAGCTTCATGGAACAAGAAGCCTCAGATCACAGAGAATCAATAGTTAGCATGTTTTGACATTTCACATCTGAGATACCTCTCCAGTAAATAGTGTCAAAAATAGAAATCTAATTGCGGCACTGTATTGTATGTTTAATCAAGCATGTCTATATTTTGTATTCTACATTGTTGACAACTATGCATACGTGTTCGTTGATATTTGCAAAGTGTATTAACATTTTTATGTTTTGTCATCTCCTAAAGCAGTGGTCCATTTGAAGTGTCTGGGCGAAATTAGGAAGCGTGAGATCACATTATCAGGCTTCTAATTTCACAGCACTTAAAAGCCATATCCGAATTGATGCAATAAAGCTCTTTTGAGGCATAAAGTGACACATTGCAAGATGAATCTTTTTAATACATTATTACACAATAGTCTCAAATGAATTCCCTAGTCCATAAAATCCGATTGGATTTGGGGAAAGAAAGAGGACAATTATCCTAGCTGGTGGCTTAAAAACAACTTCAAATTAATGGCTGAGTAAATCTCAATTGCTCTTGGTACTTAATCATTAATTTCAACAGTTTCAGTACAAAGAATTCTACTTCAAGATACTCTTCTAATTATGATATTAAAGTGCAATTCCATAAACAGTGGACAATAAACACTGGATAATAACAAGTTGTCAAATGACTGCTCCAAACAGATGACAATAAATACGAGAAAAGTTATGAAATCACAGTATGTACATGTATGTAATATCTATAAAAAACAACACATTCCGAATACTATTCTATCACTTCTAAAAGTGATTTTCTTTGATTAATCTAAAAACATGCACCACAGAAGAGAATGGATGGACATAGACTTGATGCAAAACAAACCATTGTATTCTTCTCTATTGGTTCTGACCAAATCATGAGTTCTATTGTCCTAAGGGAGGCGAGGCTCTGTCCACCAGATAAGGTATCATTGCCCACAAGATCTAACCAATAATGTTGGCCAATAAGCTATTAGAAATACAAGAGCACATGCAGACTCAAAGCCTAAAATTACTTGGTTGAAAATGGATACGTCATTGTGTATACTTACGTCATTTTTATAAATTTTTCAAATACCCTTTTGTTCACTTCAGCACTGCGTCTCACAGCGCTGTTCTTTTTATTCCAGAATGGCTGCAGTGATGTTCCACTGGAGATGTCTTTGAATAGGCCTAGCCAGCTTAAATGTTCTACACTCTGAAAAAAAAGAACATCAGAATCATTTATCTATACTTATTAATATACATATGATTAATAAAGTACATCTCCAAGTGCATTATTATATGAGAATACGGGAGATATGTTTGCAGGAATGATTCACATATTTAACATTCAACTCTTAAATTTAGTTTTTTTTAATTTAAAAGAATCTTTTGATTATTGGCTTTCTAGGTTCATATTGTTTGTTAGGTATTGTTTTTCTTTACATGTAGTTGGTGTTGTCTCTCATGTTTCACAATTAGTTATTTTTACTACAGGATTTTTTTTGATTGTGTCCTACCCTTTGCAATACTTTTCCTCTGTAGAATAGACTTCATCAATTGAGTGTAATAATTTGCAGTTAGAGGGTAGTAGCATAAGCTATTAGACTTGGGTTTCTGGGTCAAAATCAAATAAACAGCGATACCTCTAATTTTTCCCTGAAGTGTTCTACTTTTTGTTTCATATCGTATACAAGTTTTGGAGTCTCTCCACTGTCTGTAAGGATATTTCTCTCCAAATGCTGAAGTCTGAAATCATAGTAAAACATAATTATGCTCAGGTATCCCTATTAACTCTTAGATTTCAAACAATTGTTCTACATGTTATCAAATGCATGGTACACTGCATTAGGCATGTATATTAGACACTCTTTATGCTGTTGATTAGGAGGAATTTTAGGGGACTTCTTTTACTTTTTGTCAACACTTTATTTCTTTTTCTTTTCTTCAGTAATTTCTCTCCCTTCTTGCAGTTAGTTATCCAACATTTAGTCCTACAAGGTACCTCCATTGAACTTTCTAGGAAATTATTTATATTGAGGTCATGGTCAAAACAAAGCAGTCCAAAATGCCATTATTTCAAATAATTCATTTGTATCTAAAATGAAAATAAGGATCCAAAATATAATTCCAAAGGTCAAAGATCAAGTGCCTTGTTGGGCTCCTGCAAAATGGCCTTGGTCCAATTTTAGTTCTGGTTAATGATTATTTTGGAAAGTGCTTCAGGTAAAATAATCCCATCAGCCCAATAGAGAATTATTATCAAAAACATTAACAGAATAACAGACAATTAGCAAATAAGTTCTTTTGTATTACAAATCTTATTAAAGTTCTGATCATTTATTAATCATGAGTCTATTGAATATATTGTATAATTGTTTGTATACCTTTCTGCCATTATTGATCCCCAATATGAGACTTCATTGGGTTTATGATTATTTGCAATGGTAATATACATCAAAGCCTCCTAATATTCTTAATTGGATCGTGTAATTATGCTATGATATTAAATTTTCAAGACTTGGGTATTGTCCAAGTTAGACCCTATTTTTATCTCAGGTAGTTGACTTATTTCAAGATTGTTTCCATTATTGCATCGAATGCCTTCAAAGAATTGGTGTAACATAGTAGCCAATAAAGGGGCAGATTTTTTCATGTAGGAAAACTCTTTGTATTGACTTCTTACAGAATCGTTAGGATACTTTATCTATTTTGCTCCCACTTTATGAATTTCCGAATCTGCTCCAGGGTTCTTGTTCTGGGCATCTTGCATCTCAGTGTCTTACAAAAGAAGTGCATTGAGAGTTCACAACAAAATCTGGGTCTCTATCGAATAATATCTTATATATCTGGGTTTGCTATATGTAAGGTTAAAGTTCTCATGATATAACAGTATATACAGGGTGGGCCAAAAAAAACCACCCCCCTAGCCAATATTTCTGATAAATATTCAATTTCTAACATGCACACCAACAATGATATATCATTTTAAAGATAATTTAATTTGTAACAAAATGATTTATAATAGAACAATTTTCAACAACTCTGGCTCGAGATATAACCATTTATGTGACATGGGGGTCAAAAAACACCTTTTCAATTTTCGTCGATTTTGCAAACAATTGTCTATTTCTACCAAATTTTAGTAAATTACAACATTGTCATGAGTCTTTCATAATTAGATATTATATATTGTTTTCATTCAGTTTTTGAACCTTGCATGCTCAATATACATGTGTATGCTTATAAAACTAATTCATTTCTTCTTCAGTCTGTCCAAATATGGCTCAATAGACTCACCCCCTGACCCAACTTATGATTTGATTTCTCGCTTAAAACGCGAAATCCATTGGTATAATTGATGAACCTCTGCAGAAGTACCATACAACACCTAATTATTCATTCTTTCAGTATGTCTACACCCCTGATAGGCTAGGGATCTCCATAGACCAACTGTTTTAAATGCCCCAAGTACTATACATGTAATCAAACGGCTATACTCTATATCAGTAAGCAAGAATAGTGACATTTGCCCTAAAAGGCTACTCAAATTGAGATGACATTTTTCTGAAAGGTAGGTGGTGTCCACTCAGTGTTTCCCAAAAAGGAAAGACCATACAGGCCCTGTTTTTTGAACCAGGAGCAAAAATATACTCTGAATGTTAATGACACGAGGTGGTAAAAAGGACTCCTCAAGAATATAAAAAACATGTGAAAGAAATTTCATTTTCTGATGGAACAATGCTCTATCACACAGGTCCAATGCTACCCTGGAGTTTTTGGAGATTTGAAATGTCACCATCTCTAGCCCAGAAAAATGGCTTACTGGCAGTCGAGTTGCCAATAATGTTGATTACCATATCTGGGAGCATCTAGAACGGTTGGTATTTAAATATACCCAGCCTATCAGGGATGTAGAGGAACTAAAAGAAAGAATAACTAGCAGTTGAATGGTACTTCCGCTTACATCCATCAATTATGCCATCAACCAATGGCTTCCACGTCTTAAGCGAATAATCCAATCAGAGGATGGGTCCGGGGGTGGGTCTATTGAGCTATTTTTGGACAGACTGAAGAAGAAATAAATTAGTTTTATAAGCATACACATGTATATTGAGCATGTGTGGTTCAAAAACTGAATGAAAACAAGATATAATAGCCAATTATGAAAGACTCATGACAATGTTGTAATTTACTAAAATTTGGTAGAAATAAGCAATTGTTCGCAAAATCGACGAAAATTGAAAAGGTGTTTTTTGACCCCCATGTCACATAAATGGTCATATTTCTATATGGGGTTGTTGAAAATGGTGCTATTATATATCATTTTGTTGCAAATTAAATTATCTTTAATATGATATATCATTGTTGGTGTGATTGTTAAAAAATAAATATTTATCAGGAATATTGGTTAGGGGGGTGGTTTTTTTTGGCCCACCCTGTATATGATATAACAGTATTCAGGGTTTCAACTTTAAAATTCCTCATTTACAGTAACGCCAGTCAATGATGAAAACAATTTATGATTACAACTTTTTAGCATTTTTATGTAACACCTTTATGATGTTTACGTGATACATAAATTTTAAAATAATTACTAATTAAAAATGAATTATGCCGAGTCATTCAAACAAATCACATTCAGACAAAGCTCATTTTCATACAGTTATATAACTATGTCCCTTTGCAATGATTGTTCATGATCATCAGATTCTGCATTAGGGATGGTATCCCAATTATCAACAGCTGTGGAATAACAAAGTTAGTTCCATTGGGGGCAAATGATGGTTTCATAACAGCGAAGTGTGGATTTTTTAATAATCAAGTGAAAGACAATTTAACATTTTAAAATTTTGTTAGATGGAGGCCAGGGGAGCATAACAAAATTAACTTCAGTTTTCTACAACTGTTGATAATTTGACACCATCGTTCACCTTAACAAAATCAATCAAAACTGACAAGAAAAGCCAGTGTAATACAAATGACCCAGACAGATATAATTGGATTACACAAATCCTGACATAGACTGTGCCTAAATTGAATATATCTGGCAAACTTGAATTCTTATGAAAGATTTCAGAAAATTTCTCCTTTTTATTCTAGCAAAGCATGATGTATATGTCTAATTCTTTTTCGATGGCAGAAAAAAGATGCTATGAGTGAAGGGTGAAATACAAGATCTGTAAGTTTGCTATTTCTTTCAGTTTAATTGCATTTATATGTACATGAGTAGACTTAAATTTCTGTTTTCTGTTTAAAATCTTTTTTTCTATGAATGAACCTTTCACTGTATTTTCTATTTTCCAATACAATACATAACAAGGCATCAGCATGCAAAATGTCACCACCTGACATTTGTCACAGAAATGTTGGAGACTATAACAATATGGCTCCTATTGTGTTGGCCATAGCTCCACAAAATCGATACGGATAATCTACATCATACTGTTTATTCCTATATTTTATGCTTTTTCTCTTGTACAATGTTTTATGGTCAATTTATGATAATAAGGGTTTTCTGAAGTGATTTAACTGGGTTGCCAAAAAAGTTTGTTTGGGGAAAAAATTATATAGGCTCATTCAGCGAGGGTGCATTGGCTTAACATGGGGTTGACTCTTCACTTAGCATCCGGATACCATCAAGTATGTCCCAATGCATGAATGGGGATACATATAGTTGCATAATTAATTTTTTCCCCAAAGTTGATTTTTGGCAACTCAGCTAAATCATAAACTTCATAAACCCGTAACGATAGTGACTGCGCAGTAAAACATCATACTTTTAAACATTCATACATTCAGAAAATGACAAATGAACTATTAGGTATAATAGTGTTTTTAGTTTTTGCTACTTGTTTGTCTTGAATGATCATGCTATAAGTTCCTTGAGTGTATTCTATTTTGTTCAGGTCTGTTGTGATTCTGAGCCTACATTACTAAGAAATTCTGTAAACAAGTTGGTAATGCTAAGTAGTGTAAGAAAATCAAATTTTCTTAACAGGAAAACTCTGATAAAACTGCTTGAATAACACTTACAGTTACTAATTAGTAATTTTGCAGTTTGATTACATTTGCGACAAACTAATGATATTTGATGTAATGAGTATTGGCTATTCTTCAATATGTATTATAATGACTTCAGTATGAATAAAATTTCTCTTGGTGTAAATGGTCTCGGATTGTTATATTGGTACTTGAATGGTGGGGAGGAAGGTTATTGGACAGTCTCGTGCCATGTTGGATTATGATTTGGGATAGTTGGGGTTTGTCTTCCTTATGACAGGTATACTCTTGGATGTTTTCTTTTTCTTAGTGTGTTTTGTGACCGTTTCTCATTGGCACTTGCACATACATATTTAGGACATTAATATGACATAAATGTAAGACAGAACGAAATGATGACTTCAGAGCAAGACATTAAATACAGGCATTTTGCACCTTTTTATCTTAATTATCACATTTCTGTCTACAGATAACATATAATCATTCTTAACTATTTTTTTTTATAAATAATGACAATAAAATTAATAATAACAATACAACCAGAAACCAGAAGAGAAGTACAATCAAGTCAGCTAGTAAACTGGTGTTGTCTAAAATACATCAACAGGTAGTGGCGAATAATTCTTCAAAGTAAATTGAAACCTTGAACATAAATAACATCTTGAACCACACATCTCATTCCGAGTAATTTTCTGTTGATGATACCCTTATAAATGTCCTGGAATGCTAAGAAGGAAACAATAAATTATTCCAATTCATATCAATTTATCATTTAGATCACATTTGTGGTGATTATTAGATGATAAAACACATATATTTCTTCAACGTAAGTGCTGAACATACCATTCATCAAACTAATGTGTCTCTTACACTTAACAGAATCTACATGGTAACTTCAAAAAGGATGTCTATCTAAAGCCAAATGTATGGTGAACACCTTTACTCAATCTACTTAAAAACAAATAATTTCTATAAAATGGTGAATCTATATCAAACATATTTGGAATTGTAAATCTTCCCAATTACCAAGAGTGAATTGATATTATATTCTAAAACAAACGGGAACTCATTCAACCTTAATAAGAGTCCCTCATTTCCAATGATATAGTATTATTACTAATTTTGATATAAAATACTGCACTCTCAAATTCTCCTTATTAGATAACAAATCACCCAGTTATGAAGAAACACTGAGGATGTAAATCAGAATTTATGAGTATGCATAGGCGTAACATATCTTTTACTATTATCAATGATGCAAATAGAACATCAGTAGGATGATACATTTTCTGCTTTGAATGATACAGGGAAAGGGTCTGATGGAAGTTATTATTATGTAATCTTTTATAATACTCAAATAAGACATGTATCAAAGGATTCATATCTTATCTCATAGAATTCGTAGAATTCCCTCAGCTCAAAGACATTCTGCTGAATATCTGTATGACTTTCACAAATTAAATATCACCTGGCCATGTGGGGAACTAGACACTGTACTAAGCAAACGTATAGGCAGGAAATATGCCTGGTCATTTTGCCCATAAGTACCCTTTATTCCATAAAAGGCATTTATCGATGCATCCTTAACATATGAAATAAGTAGATGTGCTCGTATATTTTGAGTTCATTCAGACATACTGCTTGACCAAAACACTTATTGATTTTTCAGTCACCATCTGAGTGATTCCTATTTAATTACACATAGAGATCTTTTTCGTATTATTTGTAAATTAGTCATACTTAAGGAACCTGCTGTTTTCCAAGCAATTTGACTTTTAGATTTCCATTTCTATTGTATCACTAATTTCCCTGTCATCCCTGACCATGAACATTATTGCATTAATAGGAATACTAACATGCACTTCTAGATTCCAAACCTTGGGGCATGGGATTGAAGGTAAGGTAGAGGAACGCCATCTATTAAAACATATAGACAAGGCACTATTTAACAAAATGTCACAACCTGCCATTTGTTACAGACATTGAATGCCAACTACTTAATGTTTCCAACTGCTGAACACTGTCCACAAAAGATTTGGAGACTACAACCAGATATAACGATTTTTGGTTGTGACATAAAAATCTATATGAATTCACTGTATCAAGGCACTTTCCAAGAACTCTCCGTATACTGATGTTTACACAAAGAAAAAGTAAATACGTAACTCTGTTACGAAAGAAGTAAAGCACAGTTCAAGGATGTGACGAACAAAACACAATACTAACGATCCATTCACAAAACAGTGTGTTGATTACTTTCAATTAATTAAATGAGTTAATGCTTGAATGATGCCCTGTGCATTGTTCTATACCCTCTTTGAAGTACATTCATGTTTAATCAATATAAAAGGTTCAGCTTAAAGGAATAGCTATATCAATAACAATATTGATTTTTATATCTGTGATGTCACCTTCCTGTTCTTTCAATTAAGTTAGAACATTTACCTGTACCTGACCATTTACATGATCCAGGTGCAACATACGTGCTGACACAAGGACAAGTTGCATGCCTAAGATGTAACATTTAGAGCTGACCCACCAGTTACAAAACCCAAGGTGTAACAAAGGACCATTACTATGACCCTATATGTGACAAATGTGCTACGGGACCATTAAAATGACCTAATATGTGACAAAAGTGATCACCTAGAGTACCAATGATGTGACCTAATGTGTGACAAAAGTACTAACTTAAATGATCTTTAACATGACCTAATGTGTGACAAAAGTCCTAATAGCTTAGAGGACCAAGTACATGGCCCAGGATGTGACAAAAATCCTAACTTAGAGGACCAAGTACTTGATCCAGGATGTGACAAAAATCCTAACTTAGAGGACCAAGTACTTGACCCAGGATGTGACAAAAATCCTAACTCAGAGGACCAAGTACATGACCCAGGATGTGACATAAGTGCCGACCCTTTTAAGATGCAAAACAGATAAATAATATATATTCCATCACTGCACCTGTTTCAATATATCCATTCCATGTTCTATGTGGGTCTACATGATGTTTATCATACAACTTCGAGCCATCAAAGTATCTGGTGCATTTAGTACTTGAGACTGCATACTGACACTGAAATTATGAGCTCATTTGGATGGAATTATATCTATCATTGAAGGACACTCCCAATCCTACCTAAAATCCATGACTTTCTCCGCAAGGTAGCTACCTCTGTAAGGTAACATGGCATACAGAAAGTTCCCCCTGAATAGAAAGTCCTGGTGTTAGAGGTATCAAAAACTAATTTGTCACTTTCGCTCACTTATCGATACATGATGATGTATTGCCTAAGACACTGGCACAGGCAATGATGCACCATTTCCTTCCTTCTCGAAAAATACATCAGAATGTATGTTTGCATAAGGTGATCATCCCCTGGTCTATTTCTTGATGTTGTATGAGAGGGAATTAGGGGGCATAACAAAGGGGCTCGGTGCAAGATTCAAAGAGTGTGCTTGATCCTACTTGCAAACTCATTTATAGCTGTTTAGATGCATCATGATATATCAAATCCTCGTTTCCTTCTCTTTGAATGTGCCATTTACAAGCAGTATATAAAAGACAGATTGGTAAATCAATTTATTTCTCTTATCACCCATTATAGTATGGAGAGTTTAACAGATGTGCTAACATACTGTACATGTAATGGCATAAAATGAATTAAATGAAAGGCACAATTCCCATTTTTTGTTGAACAATTCTCAGTAAGATATTATTAAGACTTACCTATTTTCTATTGCACCAATGTCAAAGCCCAACTGGGCAGCTATATTGGCATCTGAAAATACAGAGAAGAAAAACATGAAGAAATAGCAAAATATACATTCATAGGATGTAAGGATGTTGTTATACCCAGGGATGTTTTTTCTGATGCTTTGTTCTCAGATAGTTCATAATATTGACTTTCCCCATATAACGAGGGAAACCATATGGATATGGCAAAGGATGAGAAAACCTGAACAAAAATCAAATACGAATAATACAAGGGGTTTTCATGTCCTATTTGTATAGTACTTTACCTCATCCATATGGTTTCCCTCTGCACCCTTAGTCAATGGTGACTTAAAATGTATTGAATCTGCTCCATTCCATGGATATGTACTCATATACTATGATTCTTGAACATAAAATAATGGATCGGAGCAAATAAGACATATTTGATAGGACTAGGGGCATCATAGATTTCAATGGCATTCTCTTCAGTTTGAATCACAGATTGCTAAGAAAGAGATGCAATAAATTTGAAAATAGATACAGGGAGACAGTTTGAATAGTGACTTGGACAAATAAGTCATTCCACCATCAAATTCCATGGAAATGTATTGTTAATATGCTTGTGCAAAAGTAATGCAAATGTAAATGTGAAATTCATTAACCCTTATCGAGTACTCCAGATATCAATTACAAGGTCTCACAAATTGAAACTAACAGATGAGAAAATTTGGACCAACTGGCCTATAGATAATTATATCCTATTATATAATTCAATGCTACTCATTTACAAAATACTAGTGCACAATAGGGATAATAGAATCCTACAGACAGATTAGTGCATAATAATAAAAATTAGTGCATTAAAATATATATTGTTACTAAAATATTATAAGAAGCAGGGTGTCAGAAAAACAAAAGGTATGAAACCATTCCTACTTAGTTTGTATCTCATTCCTTTAATAAAGAGGTGTCATATGTAACATAATTGGCAACTCTGATCAACAGTGATCATAGAGTTGATCCATAGTGATCATATGGTTGATCAACAGTGATCATATAGTTGATCAAAAGGGATCTTATAGTTGATCAGCAGTGATCAAATAGTTGATCAACAGAAATCATAAAGCTGATCAACAGTGATCATAGAGCTGATCAACAGGGATCTTATAGTTGATCAGCAGTGATCAAATAATAGTTGATCAACAGAAATCATATAGTTGATCAACAGTGATCATATAGCTGATCAACAGTGATCATATAGTTGATCAACAGTGATCATATAGTTGATCAACAGTGATCAAATAGTTGCTCAACAGTAATCATAGAGCTGATCAACAGGAATCATACAGTTGATCAACAATGATCAAAACGTTGATCAACAGTGTTCATATAGCAGATCAACAGTGATCATATAGTTGATCAACAGTGTTCATATAGCTGATCAACAGTGATCATATGGTTGATCAAGTGATCATATAGTTGATACACAGTGATCATATAGTGAAGGTTTACTGCAGCAAGAAGCAAACAAAAGTGCTATGGATTACCTAACTGCAGAATAAAAACAGATCATGCAGTATTAACTCACTTTAATGAATTACTAGGAAATCATACTTATTCGAATCCTAATTACGAGGAAATCAAACTTATTCCAAATTACTCAGAAATTAAACTTATTGTGTCACATCGTCTCACTAAAAGAATATTTTTAATATTCCAACATATATTTCTTACATTTTTCTACGATGCATAAATAAATGTTAGTGATCGTCATGTCTTTCACGTATATCCTATTTAATATACAATAGTTCCCATTTCTTCTAAACAAAAATCATTAATTAATCCCCCCCTATTGAAAAACATAAACCATGACTATGTAACATTTATAAATGTAGATAACTGTAGAACTCAAAGCAACAGCTAAGATCAAGCAAAAGCAGTAAGCAACCCAGTATGCAATATGCTACCTACAAAAAGTATAAATTAAAAACATGGTGTCAGACAGAAGCTGAGGGGGAAGTGCGAGGAAGAACAGAAGAAAATGTCACATACTCTTTTTATTACAAGAGCATTCCACTGGTAGCGCCACAACCTTGCCATTGTCATTGTTATTCTGCTCTTCCCCTGCAAAAAAACATATCGATTAAAGGGGGAGGAGTTAAGCTTGAAACCAAGGTACAAAATGCCATGTCGGTCTTGCTGTATACTTGTATATATACGAGAAACTAATTATGTGCGTTATAAAACTAATCAATCAACCACTGGAAGTGTTTAACCAATCAGAATAAAGTGAGATCAAAGGGCATTAATTTTGATTATGAGCTGTAACTGTAATATTGTAGAAGTACAGTCCTAAAATTACAATATTCATGCCAGAATTGGCAGAACTTTGTCGTACGGATTTCTGATTTCTACGATACCTCCAGAACAAGATTGATTAGATTATGCTGCACATTACTCCTGTTTACGTAAGGACTCAATCTGGTATATAGAGTTTTCAATTTGAATTCAAGAGGGTGGCATAATCTATGACGCAAGACCTGTATGACGTTTCTTAACCAGCAAGGCTACTTACTTACTTAACTCAAAACATCTCTGTAACTCTGAAGAAGGAATAAAGCTGAAATAGACTCAGTTGTAAAATAGCTTCAGGAAGAGAAAGATTTATTTGTGACAGATTAATGCCATTTAGACCCGAGAAAGGAGAAATAAATAGAACCTGGGAAGAATTCATTGTAGGTACAGTAATACTAAATAAGATATCTTCATTAAATAGGGTGGGGATAGTTTATAGGCCTATGCTGTAGAAACAACATAATTAAGAGATTGTTTTCAAGATACGTCAACTCAATGTTCTGTCAAAAATATATTTAGTATTTGTATTTAAATGATGCTTCAAAGGATAACTTTACATTCATATTTCCGACGAATAATTTATGTTAGTATTTTTGAGCCACCATTTTTTGCCTTTGTTGCTTTTTCTTCCTGGCCATGCCACTGATACAAGTTGAAAATCAAAATATATGCATGCATACTAAATGGAACTACCAAAAAGTGATTGTGAACAAATAGACATATCATAAACCAAAGATTTCTTAAGTAGAAGACAACAACATTTTAAAATAAAACTAAGAGAACCCTCAAAGAATTCAAACCATTGTATTAAGAAAGTAGTTCACAGTATTTTAGAAAACAATGAGATAACAGACAAATAAATAAGACAAAGAATGCTGCAAGTTGTACGCCTAACTTAGTTTGTATTCTAAATGCATAGTTTCATTTTCATTTCTTTATTTAGTAGGTGATTTGTTTATGTGTGCCCAGAATGGCAATCATCACAGATTGTTTTATAATGCCTGGCGACCAACGTTCCAATTGTATTTTGATTGTTAATTGTGATGCGGCAAGAATCATCACTGTGACTTGAATAAAGAGTTCCGTCCATTAATCGTAACGCTTAAATCCACAGTAAGAGTAGCACCTATTACATTAAACAATCCATCCATCTGAAACCTTTATAGCAAATAACTTGCAAAATCAGAAAAATCACAACTGACTTAAACATGTATGTAGGGGGCCTTTCCCTATATCTTATTTACACTTACAAAAATATACAATTGTATATGAAATAAAACCAGAACAACGGCAACGCCAAAGCGTAGCGAATCCCATCGAACAGAAATGGCTGGCATTTTTACAAACGAAGCGCAAATATCATAAAACAACACACCAGAAAGGCCACCATTTTCAAAATGGTTGCTCACTAGCCAAGTTGTCATCAGGAGAAATAATATGCTTTTAAGTAGCCACCTCTAAAATTTTTGAAAAATCGCACACATGCTTGTTAAATAACACACATAAAAATGGTGGCCATTTTTCAAAATGGCCGACTACTCCCTAAAGTTTTATTAGACAATGTGCCATGCTTAAAGTATTCACATATCAATTATGAACAAAATCGCTCCACTACTTTTCGAGTTATAGTAAAATACGTTAAAATGGCGGCCATTTTTCAAAATTGTTTTCAAAATGGCCGCCTTCTACCAAAAGTGTCATAGGACAGTGTGCCATGCTTATAGTATTCACATACCAAATATGAACAAAATCGCTCGACTACTTTTCGAGTTATTGTAAAATACGTTAAAATGGCGGCCATTTTGAAAAATGGCCACCTTCTTCCAAAAGTGTCTTTAGACAGTGTGCAATGCTTATAGTATCCACATACCAAATATGAACAAAATCGCTCCATTACTTTTTGAGTTACAGCAAAAATCGTAAAATGACGAGTAAAGGCCGCCATTTTTCAAGATGGCTGCCATGTGCTTCTTTAATATCTACATTTGTAGCATTATTAACGTCCTTTATAATTTTTTTACATTTAAAACATATTGCTATTACAGTTTACATATTGCACCTAAATTACTGTAAAATCTTCACTAAAATGGCCGCCATTTTGAAATGAGCGGCCATTTTGAAAATCAGCTTTCGAGCAGAACTTCTAACCCCATAGGGTATATGTGTACAAAATATGAACAAAATCTGGCCAACCGTATTTGAGTTATTGCCCGGACGGACGGACGGACGGACAGACGGACGGACGTACGTACGTACGGACGGACGGACGGACGGAGGCGTTCCCTATATCCCTCCGAACTTCGTTCGATGGGATAACAAGCAAATAAAACCTGTAAAAGTGGAACACCCCTGATAGTAGGACACCTTTGTTAGTAGAACACTTTTCAGAATCCCAAGACCAAATAACTTATGTAAAATGAACCTCTATAAGTGGAACACCTCCAAACTGGAACACTTTTTAGAGGTACCAAAGGTGTTTTGCTTAGATAGATTTTTCTGTAATATGATTGGCAGTTTTGTGCTCAGACATGAATTTCAGCAATCTATTTGATGAAGATATAAACAGATAATATGGAACTGGCTTAATTTTCTCAATTTTTTTTTCGTACACATACATCTAAAATACATAATGCAGAAATAATTACTGAAAACTTGAAAATGACACCAAAAGTAATTTGTGGAAATCAACAGTGAGGTTAAGTTTCATGT